TGCAATTTTTGAACAGACCAACCGCCTGGCCGTTGGTCGTACCTTGAAGGCAGCGGCGGCAGAGGGCGGTAGCCCAACTACTTCCGCTCAAGTCATGTCTTGCTGCCACGACAAGTCATCAAGTTTGGGCACCGTCAACGCCAGCGCTTACCTCAGTAAACTGCTGGTAAGCCGTAGACTTTCAACAGCCGCATCTGGATGCAAGCATGTAGCTTGGTCCTATGAACCGCCTAACAGCACATGCGGTATGATCTTACCTGTACTGCTCGTGCCCCATTTAATTGCAGGAATATTACAACACACTATCTGATATAGTCCGCAGGGGCAACACTGAGGACCAGCCATTGGGAAGTGTGTTGGGTATAAATGATTCTGAGGAGTGCACAACTCAACACAATGTCGACCAAACTGCTGCCAGGGCTCGTATGCACCGCCGGGCCCCGGGTGCACGACGGACAGTGCAGGATGAAGTTACCGCCATTCAGGTATGAGGCAGTTGATAGCAGAGCTACTTGATACCGGTTCGGGTTGGACTGCTCTCCCCACTCGCTCGCTGCAAGTCCCGTGACCGTGCCTTACATGTGGCTGAGTATGCGTGGGTCCCAGAAACGTGCATGCATGCCACCACAGAGACATTACTACTCACGCCCTTTGCGGTGCATGCATCGATCCTAAACTTGTTTTGTCTCCATGCCACCCACGCACCCTTAATCCTTGCGCACCGCAGGCCGAGCTACGAGATCCGCAGCTGGAGGTGCTGTTCCTGCTGGGTGGGGGTGCCTCCAGTGTGGTGTACTGCGGTACATGGCGGGGCCTGCCGGTGGCGATAAAAACACTGGTGGTGTCAGACGCTGCCGTTGGGCAGGAAGGCACCGGGCACTCAAGGCACTGGGCAGTGCTGGAAGCGGCCATTTCCATGAGCCTGACACACCCCAACATCGTGGGTGAGTTGGGGTAGCAGAACAGCAACAAATGGAACTCCTGCCGGGGAATCCGCGAGCTGCCAGTTCGGTACTGCGCAGCCGCCATGTGGGGGGGGACCGACCCGCCGTTCTGCTACGGAGGCCGTATTTGCTTAGAGCTCCTAACCCAGTCCGGGCCAGAGCCCTTCTTACTTTTTTCCGATGTTCTTATTGTCATCGTATGATGCTTGTCTATCCTAACTTGTATTGCATGAACTTGTCCTCTGGGTATCATCACGCCCCTTCAGCTACCTACACCTACGAGGTAAAGCCACTTGTACATGAGCCACGCGTACCTGTCCTGAGCTCCTCAACCGCAAGCTCGGCTGAGGGCGTGCCAGTGGAGGTGGCTAGAGCCCAGCAGGGAGGAGGAAGCCCGCCTGAAGCTGTTGCCCCCTCCAGATCCGGTAGCTACGAGGAGGGGGTGATGACGACGGATGTGTACAAGCTGTACATCGTGCAGGAGCTCTGCAATGCTGGCACTCTGCGTGCAGCTCTCGGTACGGCTGTGCATGGCAGGGGCTGGAGAGTTACAGTTACAGTCTGTACGCGTGTATAGTTTTGGGCCTTTTGCTGGGAAGGTGGCCTGTAGTCTGACAGGGTTGGCCCTGCTGATGCCGGCACATCTTTCCTTCGTAACAAATCCTAAGCAGTTTTTACTCTACCCCGTCCCGTGATCTCAGAGCTCGGCATGGCTGGCAGCGTGCGTGCTGGTGGGCTGTTCAAGATGCTTGCCCTGCGCATCGCTCTGGATGTGGCGCAGGGTATGCGGCACATGCACAGCCGCCGCATCGTGCATGGAGACCTGAAGCCGGGTGCGTGTGTAAGGAGCAGGATTGAGGGTCATAACCGCGTTGCATGAGCTAACAATGTGACTAGTGTGCTTTCAAAGGGACAATTTTGACTTCCCAAGTGTGTATGTAGGTACCCGGACGGGTGCTTGACTGCGAGTCTCGGCACTGCCGGAGCATTACTGTTCAGACACAAAAGCCTGCTTGTTGGGTTTACGCTGCCTCCCTGGTGTGCCCGTATCCGTCCAGACAATGTGCTGCTGGTTAAAGGCCCCCGAAACGAACCTCCTAAAGAGGCGGAGCAAGACACATGGGTGGGACAACAGCCGAAGCAGCTGTGTCATGCACTGGCGGTGGCGGCAGCGGCGGGTTTGGGCAACTTCGCACCCTCCGAAGACGACACAGACGCTGTGAGTGCAGTGGTGCAGCTGCAGCTGACGGCCAAGGTGGCGGATTTCGGCCTCAGCCTGCCGCTGCCCGAGGGAGCCACACACGCCTCGCAGCACTTCCAGGGAACGCCAGCTTACAAGGCTCCAGAGGTGGGTCGGCGGGCTAATAAGATCCATGCAGGTGGGGTAGGAAAGCCGGGGTCGCGGCGATCAGGCACGCAGGTTGTCAGGACGCGTGTTGTGTTTTTTGTATATACATGTTGTTTTTGGTAGAGCTTCACACTTGAGTTTGGCATCTGGTCTGTATTTGTCGTGGTATGTTTGTATGGGTACGAGCGGGTCCCCACCTCACAGTACGTTTTCTCCCTTCTTAGGTTGCTGTGGGCGGCCGAGCATCACCTCATGCGGACGTTTGGTCGTTTGGGATGTTGCTGTTGGAGCTCTATTACGGCTGCGTGCTAGCAGACATGGCGCCATCCGCGGGCGGTGGCTTGGAGAAAGGCTTAGCCCAGCAGCTGCCATCGTTTCCCCTTACCCTATTCCAGGTGAGCAAGTAAAGGCGTGGGTAATGGACACAACAATGCCTGGCATTTGGTGGCAACTGAAGTTCCACCCAGATTGAACTGTAAAGGCAGCCCAAGCAACATCATCGGATTCATCTCAGTCCTAATTATAAGTGTTTTATAAGTGTTTTTCTTTTTTGCCCAAACAGGACATAGTCGCATCAACGCATGTGCCATACGCCAAGCTGCTAACAGCGTGTCTGGCGTTCGATCCACAATGTCGCCCGGCCTTCCAGGAGGTTGCCGTACAACTAGAGGAGATGCTGAACGTAATGTAGCCACACCTTTAAAAATCCTGAAATGTCGTGGCGCTTGTGGCTGGGATCTTAGGTGTTCGTCGTTTGCAACAGGTCTGATTGGAAACGATCTGTTTATGTTTTGCGTGTCTAGGTAGAGGGGCTGCCTGTCTGTTCAGAAATGGACATGCAGTGGATTAAATGGCATCAATCTTGCGTAGTTGGGTTGAGTGAAGGATGGCAATGATAAATCATTCAGTTTATTCATTCGTCAACGTGCCATGCAGTACCTAACCATGCAGCTCAGTAGTACTTGGTATTGGTATTTTGTGAAAAAACGTGGTAATTGTGGTTACAAACCATTCGTGCTAGGCCCTTCGGGAAACACTTGGTTGCGAACTAAACTTCTACATAATCAGGATCCTTGTCTTGAGTGGACACACCCAAATCCACCCAGCAGTGGCTTTTTTTGGGCGGAGCCCCCAACTAGTCACAGGAGCGCATTCCGTGCCATTCCGTGCCATTCTAGTGGTAGTATTACGTTCCTAAACTCAATAGGAGGGGCTCCGCCCTTTTCCAGCTTTGAGGAAGCTGAATCCCCTTGTCGAGAACTATACCGCTGTGCTTGCATTCCGGTAAACGGTGCCACTACGCGTCTGTCCAGAGTGAAGCCTCATGGCTGCAGTGTGGACCCTTATTTTTATTGACCGGCTAGCTAGCTAGGTAGGGTCGGTTAATGTTGTACTACTTGACGCCTTGGTGCGTGCGTTTGCTACGTAAGGACACCGGGATGGTTGTTGATAAGTGGAAAAAAATAGGTATGTTCTGATTCAAGAATCCAGGTCTTACTTCAATGTCTGAAAGGATAATGGCATAGAAATTGGAAAACGGCCATTATTGGAAAAGCTAATATTGTTAATGTGTCTTAATGCCACGGTGGTGCATAGGCGCCCGCCTCCTGTTGATTTGTATGTTGATTGCTGTGCCCAATTTGGACTGAGACAGTATTGATGTTCAGGTTTTGCGTGGTTTGCCGTGCAGATGCATGTGAGTTGGGACTGGTAGATGACCCATACAAATCCCGGTTTGTGTGTTTGAAACGCCCACCAACTGTTGAATTAATGGGTAGACGTTACGTGACCGGACAATGTCCTAAAGCAGCCTCGTTGCTGCAAAGCTATTCACCGGTTTCCTGGCGGCATGTTTCCGTTGTTGCTGGTTGGTGAACCATGTCTGCTTACGTGCTAGTGTTTAGGTGTGATACGTGCGGGCATTTGTAGCTAAATCAACCAAGGGGCTACAGCTCTTTGGAGCGGCTCTTGTTTGCTTTGCTTCAAACGCTCGTCGTGAAGGATGCTCGCTGTGTTTCACAGCGGCTTACAGTAATTGGTAATGCATTCACAATGTAACAATAGCATGAAATCATACAGGATCAGTAACGATGGGTCTGTGATGATCATGCCTAAATGGGCAGAAGCTTAGGGTTAATCTGCCAGGGGGGGCTGTTCCCTTGGTCCAACGGCGCGGAGGCCAAGGGCACCTGGTACTAGGGGCGGCCAAGAAAACGTAAGAAAGACATTGCTTGTTTGGGATTTCTCGGGTACGCTAGCCTGCGCTGGGATGTAGCACTTTCAATATCATTGGTGATACTTGCTGATTGCGTTCACGGTGATTTGGGGCGGATCAATATTGCCGTGGGATTGTCATGGGGAGTCCCGTCACAGGAGACATGCTAGCATGCTTGTTGAGGAGGGCAACCTCGATGGCCCCGGAGTCAGAGAGTGGACGAAGGTGGAAAGTCAGCATACCGAACCTACGTGACTATGTCCGCGTCCGACTATGTCCGCGCCCGGAGGTAGCCCAAGCAGCCTTACGTAGCCCAAGCTTTCATCAAACATGGGACTGGGAGCCGAGGTGTCCTGTACAGGGTTTGTCGCCACGACGGTTGCGGCCCTCCAACTTCTCCCTCCGCGCCTCATTACAATGACTTCTGCATGTGCGCTATGTCATATAAATTTACTTTGCTGAACACACGCCACTTCTGAGCTGTTGTACGTGCGAAGAAAACAAATGCTTTATACTTGCCGCTGGTTACGTGCCACTTTGCTATGTGCTTTGCTGCGCTCCTGCTATAGTTTTATAAAGCTTAACACTTCATACTCCAATTATGCGGTTATATACAAACCTATGGAGTATGCTGTCATCGGTCAGCAAAAGGTACGCAAGGCGCCTGGTGCCTGCCCTAGAAGATACATAGTAGCTCTTACACAATAACTTGCTGCTACTACTGGATTGTTCCTTGGACTCCACCGGATTTCAAGTTAGCATGGCGACAGGTGGATATGCCCGCATGCTACACCTCTCACTTTGCCCTTCGTGCATATGTCTCACAATATAGTATGCGTCGATTGATTATGCGGCGTGGTATTTTGCAACCTGTCTTTCTTCCCTTCAACCCTGCAGTGCGGGACCAGCACTCTGTGGAATGTCATGATTACGCACCCTCAGGTTAAGTGGGTGGGCGGCTCCAAGGTAAGAAACTAAACTCAAGTGACGTGTAAGAGTCCCAGCGGGTTCCTATCGGCAGGAAAAAGGAGTAGCAAACGGGGGCCTAAACGTCGCTGAATGCACACGCTGCACCGTCGTTCTTTATAAACAATAGCCCGCAGTTAGGTCACTTAGCTCCTTACTGAACTTCCCAAGCATGTATACTCTTATTGATCAAGCCATCCATCCCATAGGAGTCACACCATAGCCATGCATGCCGATAACACACTTTGGTTCTGCCGCTGACCTAAAACTGTCAATGTGCGCATATCTAGTTCACGGTGGGCTCTAATTTGTACAGCGTCGCATTCAAACTCACCTCGTAGCATTTTTGCCCAACATGCAGGAGGTGTTTTGGTTCAACGGCCCCCTTCCCCACACCACGCTATGCGATGCTCACGTAGAGGACTACCAGGCGCGAGTGGCCATGCAGCGGCAGCAACATCGTGAGCAGCAGAAGCAAGGGCAGCAACAGGAGTTGACGCGACACGACTCTCAGCTTAGAGCGGAGTACGACAAGCTGTTGGTCGGGGACTGGTCAACCACCTACCTGTCTTGTTTGTGCTGCCCGCTGTCGCTCAAAACGTTGAATCCAAAGATGAAGGTGGGCGCTTGTCTCTACGCGCAAGGCAATATGTAACCCCTAGCTGTCAGCTCCTCTTGCACCGCACATGCACCTGCACGGTTGATCACATATCCCTCCCCAACCCTACCCCTACCCCCTTTCGCTACCCTGCCTCTCCTCCTTGCTCTGCCTTTTTCCCAATTCGCCAACACCGCACGCTCGGCTCCAATCACTTGGTTCCATCCACCAGGAGCATGCCACCCCTAGTGTGTTGCCATTCAACGCATGGCATGCTTCTTTGCCCCTCCTCCCTTCCCTTCCCTCCCTCCTCGTTGTTTCACTTATGTAGTTTTTTCCCTCCCTCCGCAGCTCATCGCGGTGCTGCGAGACCCGGTGCAGCGCGCCGTCAGCCGCTTCCTGGAGCAGCAGCGCTCCCGCCACCTGCCCTTCCACAAGCTGGTAGGGCGGGAGGAGGTGGGGAGGGTGTGTCGTAACGGACTACCGTTGGGGGAGTGGCAGGGCGTTGCAGTGGAAAGGGCAGTGCCACGGCAAGCAACCAATGCACGGAAGTAGTCGGAGCATGTTCTCGTGTCCGAGGGAGCGTTTGTTGTTATCCCCACCCTCCTCCGCCCCCCTCCTGCCCCCCCTGCTGCCCTTCAGGTGGCCAACCACACCTTCGCCAGCTTCGTCGCCTCCTCCCTCGCCGACCTGCGCGCCTGCCTGGCCCGAGCGGCGCCCCTCTCCCTCGCCGCCGCCCCGGCAGCAGCCGCGGCAGGTCCCGGGGCTCTGGGCAGCAGCCTGACGGGCTCGCAGCAGCAGCAGCAGCAGGCGGGGGGTGCGCAGGAGCGGGCATCGGACCCCGCTGCCGCACTCCAGGCGGCTGGGGCGGCGGCGGAGGCTGCTGGGGTGTTCCGCGGCTGGGGGGCGGGGTGGGGGCTGGGCAGGTGGATGGAGGCGCAGTGCTTCGCTAGGAACAGTGAGTGGGGGAGGGAGTGGGAGGGGAAGAGGTGGGGAGGGGTGGAATTTAAGGAGGGTCCGTCTGTGATCGACTTGTGAACGGAAAGGCCGCTCCGTGAACTTGAATTTTGGGTTTGGAATGCCGGCTAGCATTCGACCGCTCCCCTCAAAATGCCCCGTGTGCATTCGGGCGGTGAGGAATGCAAGCATCCCGAGAAGGAATCCCTGAACTGCGGGCCGTAGGTGACCCTGACTCGGACTCCCCGCGTATGTAAAGACTGCATTTGTAACTGCATCCCCCTCCCCTCCACCCCCAACCCCCACCCCCCCTCCAGACATCCTCGGCTACTCCGCGTACGACATCTTCCTGGAGAACTACCTGGCGCACTTCCCCAGGCAACAGGTGCGGGGGTTGTATGGGGAGGAGGGAGGGAGGGGTGGATGGAAAGTTACGAACACACACGGGTCTTGCAGGTCCGGGTTATTGCACATATTCCACTACAACACATAGATCAATAATGACTCTTTTTTTGCTCGATCACAATTCCCACACACACGTTATTTTCGCGGCCAGTTATTTTAACACACTGCAGTTGCGGTCCTCTGCACAGAGCCCCTGGAAACTCCAACCTAGTTCGCGCGCACTCTCCCCCCGCCTCATACGGTCAGTAAGTTGCTTCCTCATTACCCCGCTCCCCCTCCCGCTCCCCCTCCCCCCCCAGCTGCTGGTCCTCTACACGGAGGACCTGGCCCACCGCCCCACCGCCACCTTCCGGTCCCTGGAGGCGCACCTGGGGCTGCCAGCCTGGCAGTACGACAGCGGGCTGACGGCACTGGCGTACAACACCAGGGAGTGCTACGTGAGTGGCAGGAGCCCGTTTGGGGAGGGGGAGGGCGGGGGTGGGTGTTTGGGGTGTTTGGGACTTGACGCGGGACGTGTGGAGCAGTGGAGGTGGGGGTAGGCAAGCAGGCGCCGGATGGAAACAGGCCATCCGGCATGTACGGCGGCATGGTGGCGGCCCAGGGGGCCGGATAGGGGTTGTGTGGATGAGGAGAAGGACCAAGGGTTGGGAACGCGGGTGAGGTGGGGGTCAAGGCAGGGCGCGGAGCGGAGGGAGGCCTCAATACTTTCACCCGACCACACCATGACTGCTGCCCGTGTGCGTGCGTGTACCGGTATGTGAACCCCCGCACGCGCATGGGAGTGTGAACCCTTAAAAGTCTTTCCTCCTACCCCGCGCCCTCCCGTCAAGTAGGGAACCACCCTTCCCACTTCGAGTTTCACCACTACCCCTCTCTCTCCAACCCCCCCCCCCCAACAATGCGCCCCCACACCGGCAGGGCTGGAAGTGCTCCCGCAAGAATGGCACCTTGCGGTCGCACTACGACCTGACCCGGCAGGGAGCTGCTAGCACCGCTGCGGGCGGGAGCAGCAGCGCCAACAGCCGCAGCATCAGCAGCAGCCTCGACGACCACCACACAGGCAACGCTGGCACTAGGGAAGACAGCGGCAGCGGCAGCAGTAGCACGTCAAGGGCAACAGCCGAGTTCAACCACGCTGTGTCGCAGCTTGTTGCTTTCTACCGCCCGCACGTGCAGCGGCTGTTGCGGTGGGCGGATGCGGGGGTCATCGCGCAACCTCCGGAGGCCTGGCGAACGACGTACCGCACCCGTACGGAGGAGGAGGAGGAGGAGGAGTATTATGCGGAAGGCGATGTCAGTGGGAATTATGGTAGTGGTGGGTAGGAGTGCATGATGGTTTCGGTAAGACTTGGAATGCGTTGCGTTGATGTCTGATAGCTTTATATCGGTTGACGCAATGCATGGAAGTAGGGTGAGTGCCGCAGGTCAGGAGCTGGGCGGTTGCTATCTGGGGGCAGGCGCATCCCCGCATGACAGCAACGAACTTGGGCTAAGATGCCTGCTACGGATCCCGATGCATGGGAATGGTCATCCAAAGACTGCTTGGACGTACCTGAAAGCAAGTACGGGGGAATGTGTGAGTTCGGTAACGAGTGCGTGCAAGCCATAGGTGGAAGCGGGTGGGGGTGGAGCGTAACTCACCTGTCATGGGTGGAAAGGTCATGCAGGGGTGTTTCGGCCAGGCGTTCGGTGTTGGGTATACTGGCAATACGCCCTGCGTTGTGCCTACATGTGTGCGGCATATGCATGTGCGTGCATGTGATTAGGGGATGGTGTTTATTTGCGTCGCAAGGGCTTGCTGATGCATATTTGGGTTCCGTGCGGTCCAAGTCCACCCCAAAGGCATGTGCGTTATTAAGGGCCAATGTTGCAGCCATATGCTTTTCTTTATTCCCCATGGGTTGGGAGCGCTGGAATATTGACGTTTGCTTTCACATGTAACCCCCGCGGCATTACGGTTTATTCTAGGCGTGGCAGGTGGCTCTAGTATCGGTGCTGGAACTGCTGACAGCTTGACCCATGGGTCAGTGCCAGTGTTTTTTTTAGCGATAAATAACTGGTCCTAGGGCCGTGAGAAAGCGATAAGGTGTCTGTGCCCAGGGTATCTCATCGCTCACACCCCCCCTGCCAGACCCTCTACATGCTAGGGATTTGGGTCCAGGAGGGCACTGGGACCAGTGAGAAGCGCCTCCGCATTGGGGTTTAGGGGGCTATGGGCACATGTGACCCCAGGGGGCCGGCTTAGGAAGCGATAAGCCCCGAAACCCCTCGGATTGGCTGGTTGGGAAAGCGAATAAGCGATTGTCCAGGCTCGATTTCTGTCGCTCTAGCAGTGATAGAAAACGAAAATATAATCTCTGGTCAGTGCGCGGTACCATGTGGGATATGGCAGAACGCATGACCTGAATGGCCTGACTGGTACTTACTGTTACGTACGGTAAAAGCAGTTGACCCCCTTTCATAGCGTTGTTAGCTGGTAATAATGGTGTTGGGGTGAAGGGATTGTGCGGTTAGGGTACGCTAGCCAGCCATATCGCCATGCGACCACGAACACATGTGGGGGAACAGCCAGGCGGAGGGGCAGTTGACCAGGCTGGGACGATCTTGAGTTTTTGTGAAGGATGTTGCGACGCTGTACGTTTTGGGCCGTACGTGAAAACGGGCCGCACGTTGAAAGAGTATTCAGCCTTTAGGTGACTAGCGGTCAGGGTGCTTAGTAAGGGAGTATTAATGCGAAACAATACTGCGAAAGTTCCAGTCAGTACGCGTGCATGGTTTTTCCGTTCGTGCTAGGGGGGCCCACGTACTGGATGAGGTAAGTGTTTTAAGGCTGATGCTGGAAAACAAGGAGAATAGTGAGACAGTTAGTATATTCGTCTTTGAAGACAACCTTCGTCACCTCCCAAGGTGGTATCTTTTACTAGAAGTAGTTTTTTTGTGTTCAATGCATGGTGCAAGGAGCTGACACCCCCTTGTCTAGTTATCCTCTGGCCTATTCGTCATCGAGCGTATCCTCGCATACTTGAGCATAAGAACATGAGCTGCGTGTCTTACATAACTCCCCAGAAGGGGGTTGACGTTAAGAAGGTATTGCCTATTTTCTTGCCGTATGTTTTTGCCAAAGTCTTGGGCTTACTGCTAGAGTTTGCGTGAAGGGAAAGATTTATTCCGAACGGAATGCATTGCATGCGGGTGTTTTGAGTGCGCTTCGGAACATTTTGAGACACGCTTGACCGACTGTAAGCGGATGTTACAATAAGTACAACAATGGAACGGACGCGTTGAAAGGACGTGAGACCCAGGTCCCAGGTGTATAGTGTTCCCCGGTCATCGTACAAATGCTTACGGCACCATCCAGCCATGCAATTGTCATTGTTCTTGTCAACTAGTAAGCAATCCCGACAAAACAATCATGCAGCTGCCTGCAACCTACAACCTGGTCTTATAATGGTTTTATATTATACATCTTGCAGGTTGGGCATCCTGCACATATGAATACCGCATGTATGGGTTGAAAGAATAGTCTTGCGTCTTGCCAACCTGATCATCCCAAACAAAACAAATCTTGTGTAATTGAATGTGCGAATGATTAAAACGAAATCTTGTTTGCCATGATGGAAGCTAGCAACTAGGGTAGCTAGCCGGCTAGCTAGGGTTGAATTGATGGCAATTCAATAGCTCAAATCAATAACACAGTTGGTCCCCTTTACTAGCGTTGTTAGCTGGATACCCTGGTCTTGGGTACACAACTTTTCCATGCATTGGCGTCGTTCATCCACCTCACCATGCAACCATGAATCCATGCATCCATGGCGTGCATCCATGGCGGGACAACCAGGCCAGTATCCACTTGAGTATGTGTGAACGGCGCAACCAACGCGGACCAGTGCCGCTGTACACTTCTAGCTACACCTAAGCAGAAATTGCAGGCATCACCACGCAAAGATGCAATACACACGTACGGGCAGGGCAATTACAAATGATTCGTCCTGGCAAGAACCTTATGAGCTTAAAGGCCTTTGACCTCCATGCTCCTGATCTCTGGCAGGGTTCTCACGGGGCGGGCGCTGGTTTGAGTAATGCCTGGGATTGGAGTGTTTAGTGGGTGGTGGTTTGGGTGATGGCGCCATGCATGGCGCCGGTTCAGTGCGTGCTCCCGGGACTTTGCAGTGCACGGGAGCCGGTAGGGATGGGCTCCATGGATGCAGGTGGAGCCGCTGGGCATGAATGAGAGACGGGTGTCCCCGGGGAAGAATCCTGCTTGTACGGTAGCCCACTTGGCCAGCCTGGCCCTCTCCCAGAAATGAGCTGGCCAAAAGCTGCTGCTGTATACCGGTGGTCCCGTGGCGGGCCAGCCCAACTCATCAGTTCATCCCAGCGGCGGCGGGCACTATTCACCGTCAGCCCCGACGCCCAACCTGCGACTGCTTTCCTCCATCTCTTGAAACCTTCAAGCACTTTATCCTAGGCCCCATCACTATCTACGTGTATCTGAGCCTAGTTTATGGATCCGCCCCTTTTCCTCCACCCCTTTAGCTTCTCGTGGTTTGGTATGTTTTGACTCCCAGCGCCTTGTTGCATTGCCCACTTTCCGGCATCGGTCGTCTCTTGGTTCGCAGCCCCGTCCGCCAGGAGGCCATGGGTGACAGCAGCGGCCCGGGAGATGCGTGCCATCCCTTATTGGTTGCCTGGATCATGTCAGCGGTGTCAGCCCCCAGCAGGTTAAACCAGCCACTAAAACACCAGAAGCGCATGGTCCCCTTGTGGTGGTGCGGTGGGCGAAGAGGGCGCCAGCTACCAGGACCCATGGGTCGCTCAGAGCATAAATCAGTTGTACGTTGGCTACGCGGCCTTCCGATTGTTGACAGGGCGACGGCTTACCTGCGTATGGTTGTACGAGCGGCCTATGCTTAGGCAGGTGGACAACAGGGCGGGGTCGGCCTAACGGGCAGAAGGGAGAAGTGTGGATTTTGGGTGATTGTAGTGTGCGCCGGAATTGGTAAAGTGGCGGTGATCCTGCTGCTGAAGCAAGAAGCTCTTGAGCTTTGGCACGCAGTTATGGTTATATGGATGGTTGCCGTTATGCTATGTCCGTTCCAATGGCGTTCCGTACATGTTGAAGCTGTGATGCAATGTACGCGGGCGTCACAGAGACATGGTAAAATACACCTTGTGCATGGTAGCTAGCCCCATCGCTCATTTGGAGGTCCTCAGATACACATCAGTTACTGCCCAGCCTTCAAAGGTGGTTCCAAAACACGCAGCAAATCCAAAGAAAACACACCAGCTATGCATTGTCACAACAAAGACATCACTTGATATATAATCGCAGCCAGCAATATGTCGTACTGTGCCGTAACTATCACCTGCTGCACCCTCCGGCACCCATTAAGTCTACACACCTCCTCTGCAACAGGCCTTTCGCTGAGGACATCGTAGTAAGCAACGCTGGCGTGTCAGTGTGCACTGGCACATACACGAGTCTGTCCTACACGCCTACTCCTGGTCCTTTACATGCGGTCATACTGCCAAGCATTGCATGTCGATGAATCACCAAGTACGTGGACTTGTTAAGACTGAGTAACTACCTCGTCCCTAAGATCCCCTTGCCTGCATCCAAGCCCTAGTCTAAAACACAACATTTCATCACTAGAGTCTTATGCATATAAGAGTCATGCGTCACCTGCCCGCAGCTCATCCCTTTAGTCACCGTTGTCATCTTATCAAATAAGCATTGCTGGGTCAGCCCCTTGTCATACGGACGCGAATGAGGGCGGAATGGAAGCATGAGAGTAAAGCGCAAGACTAGTACTGCATTGCCTGGGCTTGCCACGCCGTCGGTGATGGGTTAGGCATGTAGCGTGCGGCATGGGGGTTCTGCTGGTAAGCACCCTGGTAGGGGTTTACGCCGGCGCCAGCCATGGGGCCGACGTTAGGAGCCAGATCCGCGTAAGGCTGCATCCCAACCTGCGGCTGCATCTGCTGGTCGATACCGTAAGCATCCCCTCCGTCGTCTGCAACAGCGTACACTGCCGCGCCGCGGTCTGCGTCCTTGGCACTGGCTGCGCGCCCGACCATTGGCCGCTGCTCAGTTAGCTGCCGCAGCATATGTACGCGCTCCGACTGGGCCTGCATTGGAGGTAATGCGACCGTCATGACCATTACAACAACCTTTAATAACTTCCATACGGACGGGGGGTGTGCGTCTGGTGAGGATCCAAGGGCATCGGTATCTCCATGAAGTGTACCGTAAGCATCGAAACGCACGAACCACGAACCATACCTTCTCCATGACCGGCAGCTGCTGGTAGGGCGATTGGTGCTGGTTGAAGAGGTTGTCCGACGTCGAATTGTAGTCCAGCAACGGTGTGGCGGTGCTGAAGGCGGCATGGCTCTTTTGGAAGCAGTCCTGTGGAACATTCCAAGAGGTAGGGGAAGTACGCAGTCTACAGGTAAGTAATCAAGGGAAGATGACAACGGGCTAGCAACGCTGCACCTTCAGTCGTACCTGGATAATTTGCAGGGACAAACCGGTGTAGTCACGCAGGACGCCCGTGTCTTTGATCAAAGTGTTCAACGAATTGAAGACGGTCTGCTCCAGCTCACGGTACGCATGCTGTGTGCCTGCAAAGAAAGGCAACGAGGCAGTTAGTATGCCATAGAAGCAAGGGTGACCCTTGCGAATAGGAATAAAGCAGGAAGTAAGCCAGGCTGATACTCACGTGACAACTTGTCGCGCTTGTGCTGGAGGAGCTGTGCCACCTTTTCCATCTCTTGCTCGTGCTTCTCCTTTTGCTGAGGCGAGGGCTGCGTCTTCTCAAGCCGCTCCAGCTTGTCTACAGCAAATGACGGCATACGAGGTGGTTTAGTACAAATCAAGCATTCCATGATTTCTGGGAAAGGAAGAGGCCTTACCAGTCAAGCTGTCGACCGTGCGTCGCCGCGAATCCAGCTCAAGGCGCAGCGCCTCTAGCTTTGCCATGCGGTCCTGCAAGTTTACAGTAAGATAGCAAGAGAAAGCGCTTAAGCAACTAGCAATTGCAACCAAGGCTCGACCTGGAGGTCAGCAACGTTCAATGTTACTTACGCAGACAGTGCGATAGGCCACCAGCCATGACCGAAGCGGCTTAATGACCTCGTCGTCCAACCGGGACCATAAGTTGTTTGATGCCTGCTGCAGGATTTCTAGCCCAACTCCCTGTCCAATAAGCTTCGCCTCCTCTGAGCATGGCACTGCGCCGTTCAGGCCCTCCTCGTAGGCGCGAGGAAGAGGCGAGGACAAGATTATCCGTAGGTTTGTAAACTTGCCTGAAGTTAGGGGGAAGGGATTTTCGAAAGGCCGTGTTGGAAACATTTGACCAGTAAGGATGCTGTCCAGAGTTCAATCCTTGGTTCTAAAAACGGGAAGGACAGAAGCCTCTTACCGTCAATCTCCTTATGCATGCTACGCAAGTCACGCTCCAAGAGCCGCAGGTGCGAGCAGAACTCGGTCGCCTCCTTGAACATGGCCTCGTTCCGAGCATTGGATGTTGCCTTAAACGTGCGGTCCGCGCCAACTTTCTGACGCACGTTCTCCATTACGCGGCGCCATCCATGGCCCATGTTGGATGCCCAACGTTCAATGGTCGTCGTGGTTGCTATGGGCGCTCCTAAGCGCCAAGCAGTACCGAGAGCAGACTATAGAAAACTTAATTAATACTATTGGTAGCAACAAAAACCTCTGCTTTTGCCATAAACAACTTGTGAGGACGGCCAGCTGTTAAATCCAACTGTCGTACGAATTTGCCAACGCTGCGACTCAGTTGAGTGGAAAAGACGACTATCTTCTCCGTACTCGTTGTTGTAGACGCTGTATTGTGGAGGGATACATCCTACAGGGCAGCGCTTACCCAGACAGAGGGGAAATATGTAAGGCCGAGTAAACTATCCCGATCGCCAAGGACGAAGACCTGAACAACTTTTGTACAGCCCAATTTGTTATTATAATTATGAGATACATTCGCGGCCTCGCTGTTTTCTGCCCAAAAAGGTAATTGCAATTGTAAGAAGCGCGTCAGCTAGTGCAACTTATACTTTGACGTCGGGCAAGTCCATGCGCATGATAAAGGCATACTTAGCAGTGGAAGACGTCAATATCTGCCGGTACCTGGATCTCTTCCAGCCCTGACGCGCGAAAGGAACCGTCGACAGCCTACACGGCTCCCAGTATATGGCAGGATAACAAGGAACGGGTTCTGGGTTGATTCCCCCGGCCATCATCCTCCGGAAACCAAAACGCATACACGCCCCGCTACAATTGCCGCGGCCCAATGCCTACGGCCCCGCACATTTGGGGCAAAAGCGCATGGCTAAACTGATACCAGCTAATAGATACTGGCGAGCGTTGCGTCACCGGGGGCGATCAACTATGAGCACGCAACGCAGTGCACCAGTGTATAGCGGGGCAACGAGGGTCACTACTGCGAGGCTTGCTACTCCCCACACGGCATACCTTGGTTCCACCCTTCAAACCAACAAACTAGATATCAATGCTACGGGAGCATGGCGAAACGGTGGTCCCAAACCTGAGCTGCCGGGGAACTCCCTACTGCACCCCGGAGCCACATGGACTTGCAGACACGAGCCTGCCTTTGTTCCTGTCGTAGCCAGGTTAATACTGTAAAGACCAACGGTGTTTGTGTCTAAGTAGAAACAGACCTGAACAGACACAGAAAAATACCGATAGGCAAGCGGATTGCTGGGGCAAAGGAAGAGGGACAGAGCAAGTGGGTTGATGGCTACGCCGATGTCCGTGTCTGCCTGCATGCAGCATCCGTGTCCACCAAAGCGTGGGGACACCCATGCTGCCCGGCAAGTCCCCGGAAACCGGACTGCCGTAATGCGATGTACGTGCCTTACCATGCCAAGCACATCAACCTAAGATTACCCTTTTCTGTATGGTATGGCCCCACGAGTTGATACATGACCATCATAGACAATAACCACGCCAACCACTGACCACCAGCCTGCAGTGCCGTGCATGCCGCCTCTCTTGGTGCCTGCCGTCAGCTTCCGTAGTGTCCCGGAAGCAACGGAGATCCCAGTGGCGCTTCTTGACGCCTTACGTGTGATAATCCCCGCCAATTCATGTTATCGGTTAGGGCGGCCACCCCGCGGAGAGTCGTACATGCCGTACAGCCCGCCAGTGAGAGCCCTGCTCTGTTCTGTGCGTGTGTCCCGTAAAAGCGGACATCAGCCAGTCAGCGGCCCTATTAGACCTTACTCAATATACGGAGTATCGTTGCAACTACCACTGGCCCCTACTACTCCAATCTTTACTCGCAACCGTCGCACGTACGGCAGGATCCATGTTAACTTGTTAAGTCCTCAAGGGGGAATTAGGCGGGCCGATGCGCCGCAGGGGGGACGGGAACCGGCCACTGCCACTCGGCATCCTAACAGCCGGCAGGAACCCAGACCATTCTCCAATTGGCACGGGCCCGCATTATGGGGCCGTGCAAATATACTCAGCATGGGTTGCGCCAACATACTCAAACACAAGCTAAGCCATACTCAAGACCCCTTCAGCAGTAACTTACAAGCACGTGACTATCCACCTGTGCACGCAGCCGCAAAACGCACATTTCGGCGTCCAAGTGCAGCCCAAGTAGCCCCCACCTGCAGCGTGTTCCCACCCGCCTCACAACAGCATGCCGCATTACACATCACCACCATAACCCCCGCCGCGCAAGGGGCGCCCGCGTCGTCCCCAGTCGACACGCTGCCGCACATGCAGCCTTCCGTGGAGACACATTCCTTGGGGCATAGCGTGAGCTGAACATCAAGATTGCATTCCAGCCAAACGCAGCTTCAAGTCCGTAGCAAGGTACAATTTACGGTGCCGTATATTTCTACATGTCGCCGCAGTGCTTTACCCGTTAACGACAACAGTTTAAGAGCTTCCAGCAACGCATGACCACGTCGCGAAAGGAGGGCGGATACGGAAACCCGTAGCGCCAGGCATACCTCAACTAGGAAGGCGGTTTGCCTGCTAAAGATCATGGGAAAAAGTACATTCAATACACGTCAACTTTCAAGGGTTGTTACTTGCCGTGTACGCCAGTCCAGTGTTCGTCAAGCAAGCTGAGCAATTCAGTTCGTCAAGCAGGGAACTTCGAGCCATACGCGCAGTACCGTACAATGTCATCAAACCGCACACATTTCCTTGCAGCTGCTATCCTACATCATCTCCACCGACTACCAGCATACCCAATCGCTACCGCTCACGCAACCACCGCAATCAAACGTGCTCAAGGTCCGCTGTAGAACGCACAGCGACTCTCAAGCCCTCCTCCATACACCGCCTTCTCCTCCCCTCCCTCTCCCTCCCCTCTCACGGCCTCCTCCCTCCCTTCAACGCCACCGCCTTCTCCCCCTCCTCCTTCACCCCCGCCCCGCCCCGACCCGCACCCTCCCGCCTTATCACACGGTTCGTTAGTCGCTTCCTCTTTACCCCGCCGCCCCCCGAGCCCCCTCAGGTACGACACCCGGCTCCACAGCGCCAGTCCGTACCGCACCCCCAGCGCCAGCAGCAGCCGCCCCGCCAGCACCGCCGCCACCGCACCCGCCCGCCCGCCGCACACCCGCATCAGGCCCAGCAGGGGGCCCTCCATGAGGCCCCAACCGCCTGCTGCTGCTGCTGCTGCTGCGCCGGCGGGAGCTGTACCTAGCCCAGCTCCGAACGTCTCCGCCGCCGCCGCCGCCCCTGCTGCTGCTGCTGCCCCTGCTCCGGGTTGCAGGTGGTGCAGTGGGTGGTTGTGTTTCGCCGCTATGATGCCCAGGTGGGACCACAGCAGGGGGCCCTCCATGAGGGAGAGGGTGAGGGCGTTGAGCAGCGAGATGAGCGGGTGGGTCATCTGGGCGGAGGGGCGAGGGGGGAGGGGAGGAAAAGCGCCAGGAAAATCAGTTCAAGCAATCGGGAGCCAGTTACGACAGAGGGGGAGGGAAAGGGCGCAGCGGTTGCAAGGTTTGAAGGCTGGGTGCGTCGCTGACGTGCAAGGCAGCTTCCCCTCCCATCCGTACCTGTTAACGAGTGGCCTCCTCCGCTCCCACTTCGCGTTCCTTACCCTTTCCCCCCCTCCCCTCTCTCCCCCCCCCCACCTGCTCCATGACGGGCTGGATGATGCAGTGGAACAGCGTGGTGAGGGCCTCCTGCTTGGCGGGCAGGGAAGAGGAGCAGGGAAGGGCATGCAGCCCAGACACAGGGGGCAAGGCAAGGGGAATAGGGTCAGTACCGGCCTGGGCGTGGCTGCTCCCCCACCCCTCCGCTTTCCCCCTAACCCCCGCATCCAGCCCCAACCTGGGCTCCCTCCTCCATCCGAACTCCCCCCTCCGCAGCACCTCACGTCCACCCACCCACACCCACCCCTCCACCCCCCCGCGGAACCCACACACCACCAGCCGCAATCAACTCCCTCCCTCCCTCCCGCCCGCCCGCCTCCCTCCTCCCTCCCTCCCGCACCCGCACCTGCAAGCCCGCATCCGCCACCTCAAACGCCTGCGGGTGCGCCAGCCCCGCCACGTGCGCCCCCACCACCGCCAGCCCCCGCACCGCATCCCCCGCCGCCAGCACCGCGTCGTGCGCCGCCCCGCCCAGCCGCCACCGCGCCACCGCGCCCGCAGCAACCACCTTGCTCAGCCCAGGAACCACCGACACGAGCAGCGGGGGCAGCCACCACCAAGCGGAGGGATACGGGTACGGCGGGTGGGTGCTGTCGTACGACATGGTAGTGCAGGTGCTGTCGTACAGGTGTTGGTCTCCGTGCACAAGGGGGCATTGGGGGTGCAGCTGGTGTTGTGTGTGGGCTGCCAGCAGCTGCTGCGCTGCCTTGCTGGCGCAGCCCGCCAGGAAGAGGGCGTAGAAGGCGAGGGTGAGGCGGTTGCGCTGCAGGGCGAGGGCGGCGGCGCGGGAGGAGAAGGAGCGCTCCAGGGGGGTGGGGGCGGGCGAGGAGGAGGAGCGGAAGCCCAGGAGGGGGGCGGACCAGGGCAGCCCGGGCGTGAGGGCGCGCGAGGAGGATGACGGCACCGGGGCGATGGCCGCTGCGGGTGCTCCGGCTGCTGGTGGTGGCGATGAGGGTGGTGGCGATGGAGCCTTTTGGCTGGTCACTAGGTGCGCAGGACTGGGCAGCTTGGTCGGCTGTACGGCAGTGGCAGCAGTGGCGACAATTTCCCTCGCCGCCGCCAGTGCGGCCGCCGTCATGCCCTGCTCCACACCGCCTCCTCCCCCTCCCCCCAGCTGCTGCTGCAGTCCCCCTCCCGCTCCGCCCCAGGCGCCGGCGGACAGCTCAGCGGCCTCCAGCGCCTCCAGGGCCAGCAGCTCCATGCACTGGGGGTGGGTTGAAGAAGGGGGAAGTGTTGGAGAAGGGGGGGGTGTTGGAGAAGGGCGGGGGTTGTTGTTGAAGGGGGAGTGGGGCGTAAGGGGCGCAGGGCAGGGGCATACGGTATACGGTAGGGAGACCCGAGGTGCCGGGTGGGGGGGAGGGAGCATGCAGCGTGGTAGAGCTAGGCTAGGAGGGGAGGTGGGAAAAGAGAAAGGGTGCCGCGGACAGGGCTGTGCAGCAGGGACAGAGGGGCACACGCCCAGTCTTACTACCGTAAACAGAAGCCCGAAACCCCACCCGGTCAACCCACCGGTAGCCCTGCGCTGACGACCGCTCATCCCCACCCGCAACGCCCGCCCGGTATGCACGCCCTTTCCTCCCCCTAACCCCCACCCCCCCACCTGCTCGTTGAGCTCCTCCGCCCCTGCCCGCGCCGCGTACTGCGCCGCGCTGTTGCCGCCCTCGTCCGCCACCTCGAACCACGCGTGCGCCGCCAGCGGGCACAGACTCAGCAGCAGCTGGGCCATCTCCGGCTGCCGCGCCCTCCGCTGCTGGTGCTCCTGTCCGGCTGCCCCTGCTCCTCCTCCTGCTGCTCCTCCTCCTCCTGCTGCTCCTCCTCCTGCTGCGGCACCTCTGCCTGGAGCCCTCATCAGGCCGCCAGCGCCTCCCTCCCCACTGCCGGCCCTCTCTCCCCCTCCCCCTGCCGTCCCCACACCCCCTCCATGTGCCACTGCGATGAGGTGCAGCGCGGTGATGCCCCCCGGACCCGGCCGTACGAACAGCGCCGTACACTCACTCATTGCCGCCAATCGGCTGCTGCTGCTGCTGCCGGGCGCATGAGCGGCGGCGCTGCTGCCGCTGCCTGAGTTGTGAAAGGCCGGAGCCGGGGTGTTGCTCCCGCCGGTTGGGCTGAGTAGGGCGTCGTACGGGTTGTCGTACTCGCCACGGCTGGAGCCGCCGCTGGAGCCGCTGGGCGTGGTGTCTGCGAGGGTGTTGCTGAATGTACGGCGGTGGAATGCAGGATAGGAAGAAGAAGCAGGTGGGGCTGCCGTACCAGTGCTATCCAGGACAGTAACCGCCCCGCCTGCACTGCCCTCGCCAGGGCTGCTCGGGAGGTGGTTGAGGCCGTTAGAGCTGTTGGCGTTACTGCAAGCCGCGGCGCTACCCGCGGGCAGAGGAGGGCGTGCTCCCAGGAGCAAAGCCTGCAGCACTTCCGCATGGCCGCCTTGTACGGCAAGGTGCGCCAGACCCAAGTTGCCGTACAGCTGCCGTACTTCGTCGTCGAGCTGTAGCAGCGAAAACGCTTCAGTTCGCTGCATGTCGTTCAGGATGTACGACAGCGTCGCTGGCAGCCCCTGCCGGCAGGCGTACGACGCTAGTCCTGCCGCCAGGCACAGCAGGGTGTCCATGTCGCGCTCAAAGCTGCCGGCGCCGCCGCTGACGGCTGTACCCGCACCCACACCCGCAACCCCCCCGGCTGCCTCCGCTGCACCCTGCTCCTCCTCCTCGTTGTCGTCGCTGAGCCAGCTGTCGGAAGATGCGGTGTCGCAGCCGTCCCCCGCTCCTGTCTCCACTCCCGCACTGGGAACACCTGCAGCGGCAGCAGCGGCAGCCGCAGTGCCGGCAGCAGCAGCAGCAGCGGCAGCCATCCGGCGGGCCACCCCGGCGGAGAGGACGGCGGCGGCATGCCGCCTGCGGGCCTCCGCCGCCGCCTGAAGCTCCATGTACCGCCCCATATCGTACAGGAAGCTCCGAAACCACCCGGGGAGACCCCGTTGCTGCTCCCGTCCCGCCGCCGCCATGCACATCAAACTGGTGTCGCCGCTGCCGCCTCCGCCGCCAGCAGATGCGGCGGCAGCGTCTGCCGTACACCCGCCTCCGCCTCCGCCGCTCAGCGCCGCCGCCGCCGCCAGCTGGTTCACCTCCCGCTGCAGCCCCGGCTCGTCCACCACCAGCACCGGCAGCGGGGCGGCCAGCAGCGGGGGGCGGCAGGGGGAGGGGCAGGAGGTGCCCCGACCCCAGCGTCCCTGCGCCGCTTCAACAGCACCCTCCTCCCCCGCCACCTCCTCCGCCTCCGGCCCCATCTCCAGCACCAGCAGCCCCCGCCGGGGACACGCCCCCGCGCCGATGCGCACGCAGCCAGCCGCCAGCAGCCGACTGGGACCCGCAGCCGCAGCAGCGGCCCCCGCACCGGCGCTGCTGCAACCCCAACCGCCCTGCCGCCGCTGCTGGGAAGAGGGTGGAAGCGAGGGAAGGGAGCGGCTGCCTCCGCAGGCAGCCATGCCAGGTAGGCCACCCAGTGCGGCACCAGCGCCCGCCAAGTCATTCTCACAGAGATCGTTTTCGCCACCGCCACCCCCGCCCCAGGCAAAGCCGCTCACGCTAGCGGCGACGACGCTGTCCCAGTGAGCGACACCGCCGCCTGCAGAGCCAGATGACGGCGGCAGTCCCAGCGGCTTCGAAACCACAGTGCAGGGCTGCGGCGAGGCGTCCATGGAGCCGTACCGCGCCATCACGTGGGGGAGCCTCCCCTGCCCGGCGCTGTCGTGCACCTGCTCCCCGGCCGTTACGACGCCCCCTCCCACCGCCAGCGCCTTGAAGGACAGCGGCTGCTCCGAGGCCAGCACGCAGGGGCCGTCCAGGAGCAGCAGGTACGGCACCAGGGAGGTACAGCACGGCTCACCTCGTCCCCCGTCGCCGCCCTCGCTGCACCCACCGCCCGACTGCGGCAGCATCACATCACCGCCGGTTGGCCCCGTGAAGTGCTGCACCTCCACCTCCACCTCCACCTCCACCTCGCTGCCGCTGCCGCCGCCTCCGCCCCCTCCTTGACCACCTCCGTGACTGCCTCCGCTCTCAGCCGCCAGCGGCACCAGCTGCGGTCCAAACGCCGCCGACAGCTGACGTACAGATAGTTCCGGCGGCGCCCCGCCACCGCGAAACCCCCACACCGCCGATTCCCCCGCCTCCTCGCCGCCCCCTCCCCCCCCTCCTCTGCCGCCCCCCCGCTGCCCCTGCCGCCGCCGGGAGCTGTACTCCAGCACCAGCAGGATGCACCCGCGGCGCAGGTACGCGGCATCCACCCGCATGCCGCTGCCGTCGCCACCCTCTCCCCTCCCACCTCCGGCCCCGGGAGCAGCTGCCGCGGCCGCCGCTGCCGCTGCCTCCATGACGGCGCCCCGCCAGCCCTCCGGCGCCTCCTCCGGCTCGCCGGTGGGGATCTTGTAGGCGCTGCGGGCGCGGCTGTACGGCGAGGGGTACACGACCAGCTTGTCGATGTGGCGAGTGAGCTCCAGCGCGCAGTTGTAGTGCGCCAGGCTGGACATGGGGTGCCTGGCCAGCTGCGCGTTGAGGGCGGCGCGGCGGGCGTCCAGGGAGGCCTGCGAGAGGGCGGCGGAGGCGGGGGGGCGGGCGGTGCGGGGGCCGGTGCGGCGGCTGGTGCCGCCGGCGTCTGCGCTGCCGGCGGTGGGTTTGTGGGGCTTGTGGGGTTTGCCGGCGGATGCTGTGGGAGGGGAGAGTGGAGGGAGGGGGTACAGAAGGGATGGGTATTCCTCCGCACTACGCTGAAAGGGAGAGGAAGCTGGAGGTATGGTGTTGGTTATGCGAGAGGCGAGATATGGAGAGGGGTATGGAGCAAAAATGGGGGTATGGGGCAAAAATGGGAAAGACTGTGATTTGGATGCCAGCTGGGTATGCGCAGTTGATAAGGTAACATGCCACGCTCATCCCGAACCTAAAATCCTTGTCAATTAACGGGCGACAACGGGGCTTTGTGAGGTCACATGTTTAATACAGGTCTGCCAGCGCTGCCGCCAGAGGGCAACCTCAGCATCCAGCATCCAAGCTGAGTGCACCCAAGGCCTCAGTGTCCTGTTATCAAGATCTGGTGAGTCGCTAGTTAACCGTGCTCACCTGTTTTGTCTTTTATCCTGATTCTGTTAGCGACCAGGCCGATTGAGCTCAACAACCGTAATAAGCCGACCCTTGCCACGACAAGTGCGAAACCGACAAACAGCGCTAAGAAGGCCTGGCCGATGGATAATCGCCAGCTTGGCTTAGATAATTCAAGTCCTCGGCTGAACCACGTTGGCAGAAACAGCACCGAGCTGCACGCCAGGCTTGCGCATATCATGGCACAAATAGCGTTATGATTGCAAGAACGTCTTCGCAATCTATTAAGCGGTCGAGCTACATTATGCGCATCCAAGCCTGCCCCTTCTCCCACTGTTGCAGAAGCAAACATGGTATACGCAACGCCTAGTGTGCGCCCATACGGATGCCACATGAAGTTGACAAGCGGTTTATAACATAGCTTACTTGTGGAGATTCGTGTGTAAAACGACGATACAAGGTCAGTCTGTACGGCATCGACTTCCTTCTCATTCACTGCCAATTTCCTTGGCTTTCCGGCATGCCACTTATGGTTCTTATGGTGAAATAAACATATTTGCTCCGGGAACTTACATTCAGATTGAAATGGCACAACATTTGCTCCGGCGGCCGGTCCGGGGTCTCCAGGCCTCCACATCGTTGCAATGCCCCGCCCAAACTATTCGTATACATAGGCCATGCATAATTGGGAAGCTTCGGACGCTTCCTGTTCTTTGCCCGTCAAAATTGGCACTACCGGTGTACCAGCCGCGACATGCTAGGGTCGTTCCGAACGTCGCTTACGAGGAGGATGCAGACACGACTGTTGACGAAGAATTTACGGATCCATTGGGGCGAAAACGTTCACGGCTCGAGATAGACACGTCGCCAGAAGTCATCGAGGGCCAAGATGCGGTTGAGCTGCCCATGGTGCGTTCATGTGCTTGCTGCCCCAACTTGAACTTGCATGAAGGATACGTTCCATGTATACGAAACCTGTTGCCTGACCTACATCGCTCAACAACTTCCCTTGTGCCACAGCCGTGCGAGTACCAGCAGACGCTGTGGTCATCCTTCTGCCTCGGCGGCATTGGCCTCCACTCCGGCGAATACGGTGCGTCCGCTACTGATCACACCCCCGCTGCTGCTGGCTCCCCTGCTGCTGTTGACACCCCTGCTGCTGCCTTTGCGTGTTGCATGGGATCCCTGCCCGCCAGGCTGCCATGATGTCCCTCGGTGGGTCCGCCACCCCCACCTCCCTACCTCACTCCCTATGCGTAAGGGCAGGTCCCCGCCCACCACCCATTCCTCCTCTCCCATTCCTCTTCCCACCTCCTCTTTCTCCCTCCCCACGCCCCTGTCGCCCCTGCCACGCCAGCCTGCTCCTCCTACTACTCTTTGCCCGGCATCGGAATCCTAGTCCTCTTCCTTCCTACCCTCCTCTCCTCCTCTCCTAGCCCTCTTCCCCCCTCCTCATCCCTCCCCTCGCCCCCACCTCCCTCCTCCTCCTCTCCCTCCTCCCCCAGCCGTGGTGCGGGTGCGCCCCGCCTTCGCCGGCGAGGGCCGCTACTTCGTGCGGGTGGAGGACGGCACCAACGCGCACCTCGCCAACGCCGCCATCAGCCTGGACCCGCCGCTGGACGGCACCAGCGACCTCTCGCCGGAGGAGCAGGGTGGGGAGAGGGGGGGGAGGGAGGGGGAGAGAAGGGGGGGGAGGGAGGGGAGAGAAGGGGGAGAGGAAGGGGGAGGGATTTAGAAAACCATGCTGTGGAGGAAGGAAGGAAGGAAGAGAGGAAGGGGAGGGAGGAGCAGGGTGGGAGGAGGGGAGGAGGACGGAAGGAGGGAATTAGATAAACTGGGGGAGAAAGGGAGGGGAAAGGGTAAGGATGCCTGAGATGCTGGAAGCGGGAGGGAGACGGAAGTAAAGGCTGGGCGGATATCCGACCCGCACAGACCCCTCCTTCCCCCTCCCCCCGCAGCCGAGCAGGCCGACCCCGAGTACCGGCAGGAGCTGGTGATGCGGTACATGGAGTTCGTGGATGCGCAGGTAGGGGGGGGGAAGGTAGGGGGGTGGGAGGTAGTAGGGGGAAAAAAGAAATTCCAAAGTAGGGGGGGGAGGGGGGATTGGGGGGAAGTAGGGGGGGCCTTGTGTGGGAAGGAGCAAGTGGGGAGTGAGCCACCGTCTCATGTGCTTATGTGGGAGGGTAGGTGGCGCGAGGGGTAGGGCCCCCTCCTCCTTGCCTGCCCCCTAGCGTGCCTCTTCCCCGCCCCTGAACACACCTGCGGCCCCCCACCGCGCACACGCACGCAGTATGGGGCGCGTACGCGACACTGCCACTTACCCCCTCCCCTCCCCCCCGTCTCCCCTCCCCTCCCCCCTCCCCCCTCCCCCCCCCAGGAGACGGAGCGCTTCCCGGGCAGCTTCCTGGACTACCTGGAGCGACAGAGCTGCACCGACATTGTGGAGGTGGGGGGGGAGGGGGGGGGTCACAGACCATACTATGCGGGGGGGAGTGGGGGGCCGGGCATCAGGAGAGGCAGGGCGGCAGCGGCATGCCGGCCCCAGGGGCTGGTCGGGGTAGGGACACGCAGTGTGCCGCAGCTGTGCCTGCCAGCGGGGCTGCGGGGGGGAGCCAGCGGTCGGGGCTGGGATCCCCCACCTCTCTCTCTCTAGCAGCCTAACAGTCCCCATACCCGGGTCGCCGAACTCCGCTGCCGCCCTCCTCCCTTCCTGCCGCCCTGCCTCACAGCCCCGCCACCTATATTGGGTGCCTTTCCTCCCCCCCCCTACGCCACCCTGCCGCTCCCATTCCCCCATTGTTTTGCCCTGATTAGTGGTTTCCTTTCGTTTGGTCTTTTTTGAACTCCCCCCCCCGGCCCCCCCACTCCCACCCCTCCCCACCCCAGCGTCTCAAGACCGAGGGTCCCCCCCGCTTCCAGTTCTCCGCCCCCGAGGCGCCCGCCCCCCGCCGCGACGAGGAGGAGGGCCCCCTGCTGGCCCTTGCAGCCAACCTGTACGACCCCAACCCCGTCACCACCTCCCTCGCCAACGACTACTTCCAGGTGGGGGTGTGGGAGGGTGTTTAGGGGGGGTGGGGTGGGGGGAGTGGGAGGTGACACGAAACCCTGGGGCCGCGGAAGGGTACCGACCATGGGGTGGGGTGGGAGGCGCCGGGGTGCCAACCCGGGTCGCTCCTTCGCCGGCAGGAGCCGTACTCCTCCCCCCTTGGCTGCCTACCCACCCTCCCTCCCTTCCCCCCCAGGTGTTTGGTGCGGAGACGCTGCTGTCGGCGCTGGAGGCGTGCGGAGTGGATAACGCCAGGTGGGGCGGCGGGCGGGAGAGGGAGGGGGAGGGGGTTGGGATAGAGGAAGAGGGGTTGGGATGCGGGAGGGGGGAGGAAGAATAAAGTTAAGTGAAGCCACGTGTCCCAATCCCATATCCCGACGGGAGGGGGGAGGAGAGCGGAGGGGTGTACCGGGGGGGGGGCTGGGGGCAGGCATTGGGAGCGATGGAAGAAGGGGGCCGCTGCACGCACGCACCCCCCCGTTTGGAGCCTGTTTCTTCCACCCGTTCCTTCCACTCTGCTTCTGTTCCATCCCGCTGCGGTGGGCCCCCTCCTCCCTCCCAACCTCATACGGGCCCCCCCACCCCCCACCCTCCAGGGCTGCCTCGCCCAGCCTCTGTAGCCCCTCCTCCCACGTCTCCGCACTCCTTCTCGCTCCCCTTCCCTCTCCCCACCTCCTCCCCCAATCCAGCCTAATGCAACCTAAATTGTTTCCCTCCCCCCCTGCCCTCCCCCCCCGCCATGGAATCTTCATCCATATTACCCCCACACCCTGCCAGGATTGAGATCGAGGGCGGCGCGGAGGTTCCCATCCTGGACGGCTCCGCGGAGGGCTGGGTGGCGCACATCGTGGTGGCGGGGCTGAGGTACGCGCCCTCACGGCCCGACCTGCAGGTGGGGGGGGGGGGGGCGGGGGGGAGGGAGGGGGGAGGAGGGAGGGGGGAGGGGGGAGGGGGAGGAGGGAGGGGGAGAGGAGGGGGAGGAGGGAGGGGGGGGGGGAGGAGGGAGGGGGGAGGGGGAAAGGAAGTGTGACTGAGCCGCCGCGACGCGGTGCTGTAGTCGTGTGTGTAGGGATGGGGAGGGAGGGGGAGCGGTGAGGAGCAGCGGGTTGCGATGGAGGAGAAGGGTGGGGTGCCATCGCACCACCTGCCGGCTAGCACCTCCACCACCGCTTGCAGCGCTCCGCTCAGTGCAGCTCTCCTCATGCTCTTCCTCCTCCCCCCCTGCCCCCGCTGCTCCCGTGGACTCCACCTCCACTCCGATGTCTTCTCCATGGCGCCATGGCTTGACCTGACCTGCCCCCTCCCCCCTCATGCCCCCCAGGTCCCCGGCCCCGTGAAGAGCTCCCGGCAAGCTGACGCGGAGGCGGGAGAGGGGGAGCAGCAGCGGGGCGAGGGGGAGGGCGAGGGCGAGGGCGAGGAGGAGCAGGAGGAGGGCGGGGAGCAGGAGGGAGAGGGCGAGGGCGAGGAGGAGGAGGAGCCGGAGGTGGAGGGCGAGGAGGGGCAGCGGCCGGTGCTGAAGCTGGTGCTGAGGCCGCGGGAGGTGAGGGGGGTGGGGGGAAGCATGGTGGTGGTGGTGTAAGGGGAGGGAGGGGGGAGGAGGAGGGAGGGTGGAGGGTGGAGGAGGGAGGGGGGATGGGAGGGAAACAGAAAGAGGGCGAAGGCTGATTTTCCGTAGGAATAGAGGATGGAAGCCGGAATGGAAGCAGGTTGGGACAGGGGGCGTGGGAGGTGGGGCAAAGGGGGCAGGAGGCGGCGGTGAGGTCTAGGCGAAAGACGAGGGGGTGGTTCGAGGCAAGGTGGATTTCGGGACGAGGTGGCAGGGGCTCTGCCGAGCCATACTCCGAGCAGTTGGCAAGGAGCTGGAGGTTGGTGGTGGTGGTGGTGGTGGTGGTGGTGGTGGTGGAGACGAGTGGGCGAGGGGAATGCGGGCCAGCTGCTGCCACTCGGGAGGGAGGGAGGGAGGGGGAAGGTGCTGGGAGGGTCTAATGACCCGTGGGTCAGTCCCGCTCCGCCCACGCGTGACCAAGGTGTTGTCACACTAGCCGCCCGCTGTTCGTTGGCGACTGGGTTTCCCCGTTGGCCTCCTTCCCTTTCCTCCTCCTCTATAGCCTCTACACACAGCAGCGGGCTATACCCCCCAACACGCTACTTCTCACCCCCAGCACTACCTTCCGCTCCCATCTTCCCCCAGGGCTTGTCACCTGATTTGCCATTGTCAAACAGCACAATGGGTGTTCTTCCTTTCCCCTCCGTCTCGCCTCCTCCTCCTCATGCCACTTTCTCACACTTCGCTACCTCATTGCCGCACCCCCCCCCCGCCCACACACTCCCGCCTGCCCCCCCCGCCAGGTTATCTCGGTGACCCGCGGGTCGTCCTTCGTGACCTTGTACCCCGAGGACACCTTCCGCTTCACCTCGGGGGTGGACCGGCACAAGGAGGCGCCGGTGATCGGCAAGCAGTGGTTCAGCTGGTGCATGTGGGAGGACATGCACTACAGGTGAGGGGGGGGCGGGGGGGGGGAGGGGGAAGGGGTGTGTGTTTTAAGAAAACTGGCTGTGAGTAGGAACGTGTGTGTGTGGGACAGCAGGGGTGAGAGGGGTGGGAAGTACGGCCCCCATGTCCTAAGTGCCACGAGAGGCGCCAAGTCAAGCTACCCTTCATGACTACTAGTACAGAGTCTCGCGGCAGCCTCTCTCGCGGCAGAGAACGTGAACACATCCACACCCGCTCCCTCCCTTCCCCCGCTCCCCCCCCCCCAGGTACTCCCTGGGCGACGCGCGCCCCTTCCTGTCCTCCCCGCAGCAGGCCATCGGCATGCGTGAGGCGGGGTGGCTGCAGGCAGGGGTGGACGGGGTGGTGATGGTGGCGCACGGGGAGAGGTGGTACGACACGGACCTCGTACGGCACGAGGACGAGCCGGCGCGGCGGCAGATGCAGGACCTCATTGGTGGGTGGGGCGTGGGTGTGGAGGGATGGGGGGTGACATGGGGAGGGGGGAGGGGTTATGGGTTATGTGCGGTGGTGGAGGCGGGGATGAACCTGGGGGAGTAGAAGGAAGCGGAGGGGCTGAGGGGCTGAGGGGAGGTACGTTGGTGGCGCGTGCACTGCTTCACGAGCTCGGAGCGGGGTGGTCGTATTGGAGATGCCGTAGTGGCTGCGGGGCGCCTTGCCCTACTCCCTGCCACCCCTTTCCTCACCGCTCCTCACCCACCCGCCCCCCGTATCCCTCACCCAGGTAACCATGTTCCTCCTTCTCTGACCCCTGACCCCTCCTCTCCCCCCCTCCTCCTCCCCCCCTCCTCCTCCCTCCTCCTCCCCCCTCCCCCCCTCCCCCCCTCCTCCTCCCCCCCTCCCCCCCACAGGCCACCTGGCCCTGCTCGCCCGCTCCGGCCACTCGGGCCTGCCCGCCGGCCACATCGTTTGCTACGACGCGGACCCCGAGCTGTTCGCCGCCTTCCTGGCGCGCGTGCTGGAGAGCTGCGGGCCTGAGGACTGGGTGCCGCTGCGGGACATCATGGGTGGGTGCAGGGGGGGAAGAGGGGGAGGGAGGGGGTGCAGGTGGCGGTGCAAGGGGGGGGAGGGAGGGGGTGCAGGTGGCGGGGGGGCGGGTAGCGGGGCGGGGCTATCCCAGCAAGCTAGCATCGGCCAAACTCCTCTGCGTTGCCATGCACGTGCTTGACACCTGCCTGCGAGTAGTACCCCACCACGACCTTCACCCCCCTCCCTCCCTCCTACACCCCTCCCTCCACCCCCCCCAGGCCCCTCCCGGCCAGTAGACTACGAGGCCCTGATGGACTCGGTGCTCGGGTCGCCGGACGAGTTCGAGGAAGACGAGGGGACGGAGGGAGAGGAAGGAGAGGAAGGCGAGGGAGCGGCTGCGGCTTACGGTGGTGGCGAGGGCGAGGAGGAGGACGAGGAGTATGAGGGAGCGCAGGAAGGGGACGGAGAAGACGAGGTGGAGGAGGGAGAGTATGAGGAATATGAGGAGGGGGAGGGAGAGTTCGAGGAGGGGGAGTATGAGGAGGGGGAGGGAGAGGATGAGGACGAGGGAGGGGAGGTGGTGGATGTGGAGGCGACTCCGGTGGGGCCTAAGGGCCGCGGGCCGGGAGGCAGGCGGTGAGGGGTTGGGAACTTGTAAATGACCGACGGGGAGGGTTAACGAGGAGGGGGCTAGGGGACGTTGATGGCGCCGCAGGACGAGGCGGTCGACATCAGGGGTGGCGGAGGTTTCACATGGTTGTCTTCAAGCAGGTGAGGGCCTGGACTTCCCCCAGGTGCAAGTGTGCATGATGGATGTGGTGGTCGTGAGCGCTGGGGGCATGTAGACGTGTACGGTGCGGGGTGTTTGACCCCGTTTGGACTGACCCGGACTGACAGCGCGGGTGCCGTATGTGTGTTGTGTCCTGAACGGCAGTACGACAGTACCTTACTGTGCAGGGTGTACGGGAGGACCATGTTTGGGGGGGCATGCTTGGTTTTAGCGACAGAGCATTGAAGCCCCTTTGTCGATATACCGCTAATTTGGGCTTTTACGTTACGTCAGGGGTGGTGAAGCGAGCAGTATGACACATGAATGAGTGACTGTTTCACGGTGTGAGTCCCTCTCACCGTACCGGCCCAAACACCCATTACATCGTGTGCCTAAGCCTCCAGTACGGCATTGTACGGCAGGCAGGCGGCGTCTTACGTGTCGTACATGTGTATTGGCATGTACGCACTATTGAGGACTATTGAGGCGTTGATGTTCTTTTGTGTGCACAGACAACGATATGACGCTGGACAGACGAAAGACGTTGTACGACCGCTGTCAACGAGCACAACGGCATTTGCAGCTGCGGACGGCACCTTTTGTTGGTTTTGGACTTTACAACAGCGACATAGCGGCCGATGTGCTCCGATGACTGGCCCCATTCATATCCCGTTGGGCCGTGCCCTTCACATCCATGAAGCGCATTGTGACGACGTGGACTGTCCGTTCGGCAGGGAGATACATGCAAGGAAAGCTGCGTTGCGGTTCTTGATGCTCTAAGCCGCCATATAAGCATTAGGATTGTGCCGGCGACCATCAGCAGTCGGTGCGTTGCTCCTGGGCTGCCTCCAAGGCACGACACCTCCACAAGCTGCCACATGCCCCACCCCCCGCATGCACTTAATGGCTTTCTTAGCACCCCTCCCCCCTCCATGCGCTGCTTTAGGCCTCAGGTTCACATCAGACAGCCTCCAGCGGACTTCCCTTAGCATCCCTAACGACGGACGCTAAATATAGTGTGCAGCCCCCGAGCATGTGCTGTACGACAAAGCATGCTTAGCCGGGTCCAGTAATGCTAAGGCCAGGTCGTACCGTTTCATTGCATAGGATAGAAAAGGATACGTACCTAACCGTGTTCGCTTAGCCTCTCACTGAGAGCACCCAAGACAAGATGTTGGCGAGGCTGAGCATGCTTTGTCGTAAGACACATGCTCAGGGTTGCCTGGGCCTGCCTAGGCCTCAGGTTCACATTAAACGACCTCCAACGGACTTCCCTTTACTTCCCTAACCCTTCCCTGTCGTGAAATGGTCTACTAAGGCCTGAGCATGGGCACACGGACCTGAGCATGCTTTGTCTGCACCTTGCTGCCCCTGCTGCTCTTGTACATGCTGCTATGGGACCACCTTCTTAGCGCATCCGCCAAGAAGACCACATTCAGTTATGGCCACAGCCGCAAGAGTGCAGCAACTCCATGCATTGAACCTGCAAAGCGAGGCACTAGCGAGGTCTAGCGTTGCAATGCGCATGTTGCCGTTAAAGCCAAACAGAAATATCTTGCCCATAGATTGAGACAACCAAATCTAGACGGCCTGCCTGAAGTGTCTTGTAGGGAATTGGCATGGTGGCCCGCTAGATCTTTGCCAAAAAGTATGGCAACTGTCAACGCATCAGTACAAACTGTAACCGCTTGTCCTCTTCGCAGAGAGGAAGCAAATGCATAATGTTCGTTTTGCTGTGAGATAAAGTTTTAGCTATATTAGGTAATTCCCTATACACCAAGGAGAACCGCGGCGTAACAAGTAGTCCGTATCTAAACGAGACCCACAAACGTAAATGCATGAATGGATACAGCAGCTGTTAGAAGGGGATAATCAAGGCGATACCATAAATAATGACAAGGTTCCAGCGTTAGCAGCTTGACCAACAACATGACGCCTGACGATTTGCCCCCACCGAAAGCGGGCTCTTGGCTTCAACGTAATGAGCTAGGAACACAGCAAGCCCTTATAAATAGCGCGGGCATGCAGGATAAGCTGCCGGGGCGCGACCCAGGTGCGGGAAGTCGCCATGCCGCGCAATTCATGTGCAATCCACACGTGCCAGCTCCTACATAATGACAAAGCTGGATACTTGCAAACCCCGTTTGCCTTCAACAGGATACCGCAAAGTTTCGTTTGGCATCGATGCCTCATCCAGCACCGCATCGCCAGGAATCCGCGGTTTACCAGCTCAAACACCTCCTCCAGCCAGCTCATCAGCTTTCGCCTCACCCAACATTACTGGAACCGATGACGTTGCGTACTCAACCCCAACTCCACCTACCATTCCCACGACCACCGCAATCTCCAGCTCACCAAGCGCAGCTACCGGCAACGCCGCGGGCTCAGATGCGGCTTCCGATATGTCTTTCAGCCTCAACGCAAGCATGCGACGTACCCGCCGCAGGCACGCAGCTGCAGCTGCTGCTGCACAGCCAGGCGTGTTGGGTCCTGCGCCCATGCCGACATCAGCAGCTGCCGCGGCAGCAGCAACCGGAGCAGCGGCGGGCGGGGAGGGTGGCAATAGCGGCGCGGATGCTACCTTAACTACAGGTACGCAAGCGACCCAACTGAGGAACAATTGCACCGAAGGACCATAGACCCGGCTGTATGAGGGGCGGGTCTGCGGGAGCAGTGTCGGTGGGGAGACCAGGGGCCTTCCACCACATAGCGCCGGGGCAGAGTTCAATGCGGTCGCCACCGAACAGCCCCTAGGTACAGGGATGCCGAGGTTACCCAGGTGCGAGGGGTACGGCAGAAATGATTTTTGCGGTTGTACGGCAAGGTTGGAGCTGTTGTGGGTGCGGTTTCGCATGGTAGTCCGGAGGGGGGGGCAGCATGTGTATGGGATTAAGGCAGGGCATCATATAGATACAGCGGCAGGCGCAGTGGTGCCGACCCATCAGCGGCCATGGTACCGACCGGGCGTTACGCGGGTAGCGGCAGCAGCAGCCGGGATGCCGGGAGTGGCGGAGTGGCGCAAGGGGCTCACGAGGGGCAGTGGGTGTCAACCGATGGGGAGGATATGGGGGGAGCGGCGAGACCAGGCCGGCGGGAACGTGTGAAGGGAAAGGGTGTGTGGTGAAGGGCTTTCCAGAGGCGCTTGAATGGGAAGCTCCGCTTATTATGATGGGTGTACATGTTGGTCTCGACACGCCTGGAGTCGGGGACGGCAGCGTTGGCTCTACGGCGAGTTGCGTTTCGCACTGCGCTTACTACCGGTCCTAATCCATGACCCCTGCTGGGGCTCTCCGCGCTTGCACCGTTCACGTGTTCATGTCCAGCATGCCGCATGCGTGTAGGTGGCGGAGGAGCGGCGGTCTCCAGTGCCTTCGCAGCCGCCGACAGTGCCGCAATCGCCGCCGCCGTCGCCGCCACAGCGACTGCAGCTGGTGCTGCTGGTGCTGCTGATGCCGGGGAATACCTTACCTCCTCCCCTGTCCTTGCGCCTGCTCATGCTGCTGCCCCCTCCGGCCCGCTGCCCATCTGCGGGCCGCTGTACACTAAGCCGCTGCCGCCAAACGTGTTGGCCGTGACCATTGAGCGATCCGAGGTAAGGGCTGGAGGTGGGGAAGGCTGGGGGAGGGGTGAAAGGGATTGTTCTGCTGTTGCGGCTGAGGAATGGGTGTGGTTAGTGGAGTGTTAGGCGAGAAATTTGTTGCTGTGACAAAACACCTTCGTCCACCTGACATCCACCTCGCCACCCTAGCCACGGGCCCCTAGCCACTTGTGGTCGTAACCTCCACCCGCCCACCCACCCTCGCAAACCCCTCCCCACCTCCTCTCCTGCCCTCCCCGCGCCCAAAACACAAAACACAACCGTGCAGGCCCTCCGGCACGACCCGCTGCTAACTAATCCTGTCGTACGGCTGCACTGCTTGGATCCAAACACGGGCGCGCACCTCTCCACCCTGGATGATCCCAGCCTGGGGGTGCTGGATCCTGTACGGCAGGCGCAGGTGGGTGTTTGGGCACGGCACACGCGCCCATGATTGCTGGTCCGTGGTTTTGCGCTGCTTCAGGGGTACACCGCATGTGTATGTTTTCGGGTTTGCCAGCCTGCGGAAGCGACGCAAGCAACATGCTACGTCATTGCCGGTGCCCCAAGCCGGTGCCGTGTCAGCCGACGTGTCGGCTTCATGTACGACCTGCATGTGCCCGCGGCACCACGTGTGGAGAGAGCGGCGGGTGGTTGGAACCGGAGCAGTCGGGGTCTCAGCAGTCAGTCCCAGCACCAAATGCTCCTTCTTTACGAAGTTAAATGGGTTTATCCCTCCCTCCCTCCCCCCTGCTCTTCACTATCCCTTCCCCTCCCCCCCCTCCCCCCCAGCTGCTTGAGTTCCCCGGCCGCCCCGCGCTCATGACGCTCGCCAACAACACCGCCGCGCCCTGTCCTGCCGTGCTGCGAGCCATACCGCCCGTGCAGACGCAGCCGTGCGACCTGCTCAACAGACCCGAGGTGGGCGGGACCCAGGCGGGCGGCGTAGCATGGGGGGAAAAAAGAAATTGCAATGTGTGGTGTGATAATGATACATGTAGCATGGGGGGGGGGGGGTTGGAAAAAAGAGGAAACTGACGAGCTGTATGACGAGCATGGGGGGAGGGAAACGAAATGAGGAGTGAAGCACACTCCCACGTCCCGACTCGTGCAGTGAGCGTTAGCAGACACTACCCGGGGACGCGCGTAGCGGGCGGGCGAGGTAACGAGGACCCGGCTGCACCTTGCAGCTCCTTGCCGTACACGGCCCATTCCCTTCTCCTCCCCCCCCCCCCGCCCCCCCGCCTCGTCATCCAGTTCGTCAGTTGTCCTTATTTTTACCCCCGCCCCCCTGCCAGGCCCGCACCGCCGCCTGCTGGGACGAGACGCTGCTAGTGGACGAGGCGGTGGAGCGGATAATAGCGCTGGACCCGCTCATCCTGCTGGAGGTGAGGGGCGGGGAGGCAGGGGAGGGGGGGAGGGAGGCAAGGCGGGTACCGACACGGTGTTAAGAGGAGGCGAGCAGTGCAGGAGAACGAGTAGGAACAGCTGCACCCGGCAACTCTTTTCACTCCCTCCCTCCTTTGTTGTCTCCATGCACGCATACGCTTACATGTAACAGTACCTGCTTCCCTTCCCTCCCTCCCCTTCCCTGCCCGCATGTGCTGCTGCTGCGTTTGCACCCGCGCAGGTGCTGCAGCCGCCCGTCAGCTACCAGCGCTACCGGAAGCACGCCGCCGCCTTCGACCCGCCCGACGGCTGCCACCTGGTGGCATGGGCCTTCCTGCGACCCGCGGGTCCGCCGCCCGCCGGCCCGGGGGGCCCGCGGCAGCCGCTGCTAGGCCGCCTGAAGCTGCAGCTGTACGAGTACCGGAAAGGTGGGGGGAGGAGGAAGGGATGAGGAAGGGGGGGAATTAAAAAAGTGAAACAACGCGTCCCAATCCCATATCCCGACTCAGGAAGGGGGGGGTTGGCGAGGTGGAAGGTTGCAGCGCTCCCTCTTGTGAAGTGGGGCACCACGTGCTCTTGGACTGCTGACTCCGCTTTACACGATGTGTATAGACGACACGACAGTTATTCCAGTTAATTGTAAGTGTCGATGCCACGTATTTTCCTTGCCGTACAGATCTCATTGCTGCAACGACTCGTCGTACGGATAACGACTTTGGTATGGCACCAACACCTGCCGTATATCCCGGTGGTGGCGGTGGCGGCGGATTCGTGGTGGGCCCCGACGGTACAACCGTCTTGCAACCGCAGGCGGTCACGGTTAGGAACTCCGCCAGTCGTGCGTTCGCGAACTGGCAGGCCCTCATGGCAGTTGGCGGCGCGTCGGTTGTACGGAAGTACCCCTCCGCGCTAACGGTCGTACTACAGGCAAGTTGCCGTACACCGGGTCATGAAGGAGTAGGAATGTCCCAGTAACCTGCGAGGTGTACGAATAGGGGGTTGGGGGGTGGGCTGTGACGAGGGGTAGTGGGGATGAGTGGAGGCTGGGTATGTGCGGTTTTCATTCTTCCATGACCTCCGCCTCCACACCTCCCTGCATGCCAGGCTGTTCCGCGGCCCGAGCCTGAAGTGGTCATCACGGAGCCCGAAAAGGGCATTCGTCCGTACTTGCCGGCGGGGTACGGCAGCGGCTTCGAAACCAGTAAGTTTGCCACAAGCCGTACAATGACGTTAATGATGTCATCGAACACCTGCCTGATGTGGTAGGCACTGGGGCTGTGAGCCCGCACGCCAGTCAAGGCGATTTTGTCCTCCCTCCTTTCAACCGTTTAGCAGACACGTCCCGAAACCCCTCCGCACCTTCCCTTCTCTTTCCCTCCTTTCCCTCCACCAACCGCCCGCCTAACCCCCACCCCCCCACCCACCCACCCCCTCCCGCTCCCCAGGCTCCATCCCGCTGTCCGCCTACGTGCACGGCGAGGGCGGTGGCGGGGGGCTGGGCGGGCTGTCGCTGGGTCGCGAGGCGGCTGCGGAGGACCTCACGCAGCACCCGCTCTACCGACCCATCACGGAGCCGTGCAAGGTGGGGCCGAGGGGGGCTGAGGGGGCCGGGATACAGCCCGGACCCCCAGGCTTGGCGGGGGGGGAGGAGGCGTGGCTGTCCCTTGCATGTTGAATTTGGGTGCGCCTGGCAGAGGAGAGGGGAGGGCGTGGGAGGAAAGAGGAGAACTCTCTGTGTCAGAGTGGGTTGGAGCGAGGGGGGGGGCGAGGGCAGCTGGTGAAGGCGGTGTCTAGGCGGTGACATGCGGAGGGCTGCAAGCGCACCCACCTGACTGCCATCCTACTTCCCTTCACAGCCCCCTCGCCCTCTTTCCCTTCCCCTTCCCTGCCACACCCCAGATCCCCAACGCCCCCCTCCGCCAGCTGCCCGGCGGCCCCACCGGCGTCAGCTGCCTGGCCTTCAGCTGCGCGGGGACCTACCTGGCGGCCGCATGCGGAGAGCCGAACGACAGGTTCAGACTGGCGGTCTACAAGACGCTGACGGGTGGGTTGGCGGGAAGGGGGGGGGACTGTACGGCAGGACGCAGTGCTCTTGTACGGCAGCGGTTTCAACTGGTGCTGGTGCGGTTATTAGGAGTACAGATGCGGAGCTACTGTTAGCTGTAACCACTCTAAGAGCCTTTTGCTTGGCTTGCTTAATGCACAGGAGCCCTGGTGAAGACCATTCATAACGCTCACAGCGCATTTGTGTACGACATTGCCTGGGCCCGAGATGACTCGGCCATCATAACCGCCTCCGCCGATTGCACGGCGAAGATCTGGGAGCTCAATCCCGCTGCTGCTGCGGCGGCCATGACTGCCGCTGAGGTGGCGGCGGCGGCAGCAGCCGGCAGTGGGGCTAGCGGAGCAGGCCCCGTTGACGCAGCAGGCGGCGTCGCAGACGCCGCCGCCGCCGCTGCTGCCGCGGCGCCAGCCATGAGCCTCCTGGCGACGATGCGGCCTTCAGCTGCTGCTGCTGCGGTTGCAGAGGGCACATCAACCCGCAGCGGCAGCCGTCACAGCACACTCGCCGCCGCCGCACCCGTCAATGCCCCGGCGGCTCCGGCACTGGCGACGACGGGCCGGGCTGCCACCGCCGCCGGCGCCGGCGTGCCGCACCCCACGCTGCTGCGCCATGCGTGTTACGTGTATACGGCACAGTTCCATCCCGTACAAAAGTACGGCAGTGCGCTGGTTGCCACTGGGGCGTACGACGGCACCGTACGGCTGTGGCGGCGGTACACGGGGGAGCTGTTGGCGGCGGTGAAGGTACACATGACGCCGATGGGTACATAACATGGATACAGAATCCGGGCGCTCGAAGCGGATTTTCTTGCGGCCTTTTCGGGTCCCTTGCACTTGTACGTGGGTGTGCACTTGGACGGCCAGTCGCGCTGTTGCTTCTGCTCCTTCCCTAACCCTCCCGCCTGCCACCTCTTCCCGCCCTTCCCTCCCCCCTTCGCGCTCCTCCCCACGCCTCCTGCTCCCCCCCTCAGACCCAGTCCGGCGCCATCAACAGCCTGTGTTTCGACAAGCTGGGCACCCGGCTGTACGCGGGGGACAGCGCGGGGGTGCTGCAGGTGGGGGGGGATGGGGGTGCTGCAGGTGGGGGGTCAAAGACCAAACCGAACCATAGGAAGCCACAGGTTGGGGCAAGACAATGGGGATAGGAGCGGCAGGGTGCCACAAAATCAAGTATGGGTTAGCGGTGGGGGGGGGGAATGGGTGACGAGTGGGGGAGGTGGGGTGTAAGGGGTGAGGGGAAGGGAAGACGGGAAGGTAGGCAAGGGCAAACTAAACACCATAATCGCAGCGCCTGTTACCTGACCCGTTGCCGTTACCTAGTGTAATAACAAGGGCGGGAAAGAGGTGATGAAGGGAGGAGGCATGCAGTTGAGGTCGGGCGCACCAAAGCATACAACATAACTGGGCCTTCTTCCGTTTGCCCCATCCCCCTCCCCCAACACAATCGGCTTTACACCGCCCAACACGCGCCCTCCCGGCCCCCCCTCAGGAGTTTAGCTGTGACGTGAGCAAGGGGGCGGAGGCGGTGGCAGCTGCACCGGGCGCCACCAACCTCAAGATATCCACCATTGCCGCGGGAGGTGGGTGCGGAGGGGGGTTGGGGATTAATTTGGAAACAGAATCCGCATTACGCTGGATAGTTGGGGTAGCAAATAACTGTAGTTGTTGTATGGTTAGTAGTATCAATCAATAACAAACCGTATTGTAAGCTCCATGGCGGCTGCCAAGGTGATTTGAAATCGCTCTGCGTTGGGGAGGGGTGGAGCTGTTGGATCTCTCAGTCAACCTCCCACACCACCACCCCTGCTATACCTTCGTGCCGTATGCACGACAAACCCCACCACTGAGACATCCTCCTTGACATCCTTCCACTCCAATTCCCTGCCACCCTCCCTCTCCCGCTCCCGCGCCCCCCCCCCCCCAGGCTCCTCCGCCAACCTCAACACCACCCTCCTCTCAGCCACCCTCCGACCCCGCCCCGGAGGAGCAGCGGGAGGAGGAGGAGGTGGGGGGCTCAATGCCTCCGTAAGGCCCTCGGCAGGTGGAGGAGGAGGAGGAGGGGCTGGAGAGGCGGCGGGTGGGCTGCATGCGACCCTGTTGCGGGGCTCGGGTGGCGAGGGCGGCGAGGGGGCGGGTGCTGCGGGTGCGGCTGCTGCTGCTGCGAATATCCTGCGCGTGCTGAGGCAGTGAGTTCGGGCACCCCGGGGTGGGGCGGGGTGGGGGGCTTGTACGCTGAGCCGCGCGAACTGATGGCACCTGCTGGGAAGGATGGGAAGAGGCCGCAGTGGATGGTGCGGGGCTGTGTCCCCCCCCCCCCCGCCCAGCAGCAACCCCAGCAGCGAGGGAGGAGGCGGGGGTGGTGGAGGGGCGGAGGGAGGAGGGAAACCAGGGGGCCGGACATGTCACCCACCCGCCGCACCCTAACCACCCTAACCACCCTAACCACCCGCCTGGCAGCAGCATGGCAGCATGCTCACACATTTCCCCTCTGCCATCCGCCCCCCACACCCTCCCACAAACCACCCCACGGCTCTCCATCCCTCTCCGCCTCTCCCCCTCCCCAACTATCCAGCCTAATGCGGAACATGTATCCCTATGACCCCCGTTCCCCCTTTCTCCCACCCACCCCCCTTCTCCCCCCCCCCTCCCCCCCCTCCCTGTCCGCAGGTGTGACGAGTTCGCTGGCGAGCCGCTGTCGCACGTGCTGCTGCACCCGGGCGGCCGGCGGCTGGCGCTGCTGACCAAGCGCAGCCGGCTGCTGGGGCTGGAGAGCCGCAGCATGAGCCGCGCGGAGGAGTTCCGGGGGGTGCGCTGCAGGGAGGCGCCGCTCAAGATGGCGTTCAGCCCGGGTGAGGGGGAGGAGGGGGGAAAGTAAGCACAGAAGGGGAAGGTCAAGAAGCACAAAACCACGAATTAGGGAGGGGGAGGAAGGGGGAGGTGTGGGGGAAAGTAAGAGTATTGAGGCCCACCTGCATTCCCATTCCCAGTGTCTTGCATGTCCCGTTGCTGTAACGCACTTTGCTCCACCTAGCCCGCTCCTCAGCCCACCCCTACTGCTCCTGTCACCTCCTGGCATGCGCCCCCTGCCGCCCTCCCCCTACCCCTCTCCTCCCTTATTCGTGTTTGATGTTCGGTCCCTTTTGACCCCCCCTCCCCCCTCCCCCCTGCCCCCCTCCCGCCCCCCCCCCCAGACGGTCGCTACCTGGTGTGTGGCAGCGAGGACGGGCGGGTGGTGGTGTGGGACGCGGACGGCGGCCCGCCCACCCCGCTGCCGCACTTCAGCCTTGGGGGCGACCCGGTGTACCAGGTGGGGGGCGGGGGGGGGGAGGGGCAGGAGGGGTGGGGGCAGGAGGGGTGGGGGGTGCGGGGTGGGAGGAGTGGGGCCGGGGCTGGAGGGAGGGCTTGCATGCCTTTCCGGCTTGTCGTCACCCTGCTGGTGGGGAAGCTGGTGTGACTACTATCACTCCCGTCTCCTCCCTTTCATCGCACCCTCACCCCCCACCCCCACCCCCAATGTAGCAACCAATGGTAAAGCTTCGTCATGCAACTCAACACTTTCCTATCTCTACCCCCCCCCCCCCCCCAGGTTGTGTGGAACCCGCAGTTCCACATCGCCGCCGTGTGCAGCTTCAGCCCCTGGGCGCCGCTGCTGCTGCTGGCCTACGAGGCGGGGCAGCCCGAGGTGGCGCTGGCGGTGGGGGGGCGCAGCCCGCTGGAGCTCATGGCGCGGGAGAACCGCAAGCAGGTGCGGGGGGGGGCACAGGAGGTGGGGGTGACAGGGAGGGGGGGCCGGGGGGGGGCACAGGAGGTGGGGGTGACAGGGAGGGGGGGCCGGGGGGGGGCACAGGAGGTGGGGGTGACAGGGAGGGGGGGCCGGGGGGGGCACAGGAGGTGGGGGTGACAGGGAGGGGGGGCCGGGGGGGGGCACAGGAGGTGGGGGTGACAGGGAGGGGGGGCCGGGGGGGGGCACAGGAGGTGGGGGTGACAGGGAGGGGGGGCGGGGGGGGGCACAGGAGGTGGGGGTGACAGGGAGGGGGGGCCGGGGGGGGGCACAGGAGGTGGGGGTGACAGGGAGGGGGGGCCGGGGGGGGGCACAGGAGGTGGGGGTGACAGGGAGGGGGGGCCGGGGGGGGGCACAGGAGGTGGGGGTGACAGGGAGGGGGGGCCGGGGGGGGGCACAGGAGGTGGGGGTGACAGGGAGGGGGGGCCGGGGGGGGGCACAGGAGGTGGGGGTGACAGGGAGGGGGGGCCGGGGGGGGGCACAGGAGGTGGGGGTGACAGGGAGGGGGGGCCGGGGGGGGGCCCGCATGGGCAGGGGCCAGGGAGGGAGGGGCATGGGGGTAGTGTGTAGGGTGTGTTAAGAAAACTGGGTGTGTTAAGAATACTGGCCGCGAGTAGGAACGTACTGGGATGTCGGAAGATGAAGTCCCCACAGAACCGCCGCAGGAGCCGAGGAATATGGTAGCGTATGTACATATAGAAGTCCAGTACTGGTGCTGAGAGTAAGTAGGACGTAAGAAGCACTCTCGTAAAACGACCGGACCTAAGGCCCGTAGTAGTAAGTTGATATGTATGTAGTAGCTGACAATATCGAGTAGAGTAGGTAGATAAATAGGCTGGAACTGCTGCTGAACAGGTAGCAAAACAGGGGAGCATGCCGAGACGTCGCAGTGCATGCGCGAGCAAAGCAAGACAGGCAAAGCAAGTGCAAGACCACTATGTGCGGATGTTACCGTACACTGACCTGCAGGCAGGTACGAAAGCATCCGGCAGCCAGCAACCAGTGTCAATAACCGACGGCAAGAAGAGGAAGCGGGGCACATGCTTCCTCTTTTCCTCGTTTTCTTCCCGACCTGCTACTCAAAATCCTTCCTCCACACCACCACTTCCCTCCCCCGTGCTCCCCCGCCCTCCCGCCCCCCAGGCCGAGGTGGTGCGCCCCCGCTGGGATGTCCCCGACCGCCTCACGCCCGAGTACCTGCGGATCATGCTGCATGACGTGCGCAGGTGGGGGGGCGGGGGGGAGGGGCGGGGCGGGTTGGAAGGGGGGTTTCGGGGTGGGGTGTGGGAGTGGGAGCAGCAGGCCGGTGACAGCTGCTGTTTTGCTTGCAGTTCACAGGGGGTCACAGGGGAGCTGACACCGTGTCATGGTCGTACGGCACATCCGTACCTGCAAGGATGAGGGACTCTTGCTCCCGGATCCCGGGCCTTCCTGCCCGATCCTCTACACACCCGCAAACCCCTCGCTCGACCACCTCACCCTGTCACGTAACGTGTCAAACCCCCCGGCTCCCCCTCCTTGGCAAATCCCACACAGAGACGCCCGAGAGCGGGGCATCCTGGGGGCCCCGGACGACCCGTACGGCGAGCACCTCGTGGTGCCGTACAACCGCCTTGCACAACTGCGCAATGCTACAGCCGCTGCAGCCGCCGCTTCCACGGCTGCCGAGGACGCCAGAGCCCTTGAAGGCCAAGGGAAGCAGAAGAAGGGCAAGGGCAAGGGGAAGCAGGTACAGATACAAGAAGAGGCGACGGCGAAAGGGCAGGAGGAGGAGGAGGAGGATGGCGACACAGGTGCAGGTGGAGGTGGAGGTGCAGGTGGAGGTGGAGGTGTGGTAGACCTGGCAGGACTTCCGGACCTGCCGGGGAGTCGCTTCCCGACGGCACCGCCACCGCCGCCCCCAGCAGCACCAACAACAACAGGAGGAGGAGGAGGAGGAGGCGGTGGCGGTGGCAGTAGCAGCGGTGAGGTGGAGGAGGGGGAAGCCAAGGTCGCTGCCTTCCGTCAGGCGCGTGCGGCCTCCCAGGCGGCAGTAGCCAAGGAGCTGCTGCAGCGGTCCATGCGGGGAGGCAGCAGCAGGCCCAGGAGCGCACCACCACCACCGCCGCCGCCAGCAGTGATGCTAGCAGCGGCAGGAGCAGCAGCAGGGCCGGCGGTTGCTGCCAGTCTGCTGCCGCCGCCGGCATTTAAAGACACGCCGCAGCCGCAGCCGCCGACGTCTCTGGCGACGGCTGCAGTGAACGAGGAGGGCGGCACGGCGCTGTCCCCCGCTGAGGCAGCTGCAGCCCCGCAGCAGCAGGGGGCGGCGGCTTGGTTGGAGGAGGGGGCGCAGGGAGTGCAGACGCAGCCACAACTGCAAGTGCCACCACTGGCGCCGCCCCAGCAGCAGCAGGCGGCGCAGGAGGGGCAGCAGGACCAGTGGGCCCAACCGAGCGCAGTAACATCGCCGCCGCCGCAAGGACAGCCGCACGGAGCGACGGCCCCCAGTCAGCCTGCCTTGCAAGGAGAGTCGCAGCCGGGCTACAGCAGCCGCCAAGTCATGCAGACGTATCCCCAGCAGCAACCCTACCCGCAACAGCAGCCCCAGCACCACCAACCACAAGACCCTGCTGCTGCTTCCGCTCAAGCCCAGGGGCCCGCTGCGAGCCGTCAGCAGCAGCAGCAGCCGGTGTGGTACCCCCCGCAACCCCCGTACATGCAGCCCCCTGCTGGGCCTCAGCAGCAACCACCACAGCAGCATTGGGGACAGCAGCAGCAGCAGTATCCGCAGCACCAACCACCGTACACACCTCAGCAACAGCAGCAACAGGGGCCGTACTCAACCCAGCCGCACTACATGCGACAGCAGACGCCGGCGCAGCAGCAACAGCAACAGCCGCTGCCCTACCAAGCGGAGCAGCAGCAGCCACTTGGTCCCCAGCAGCAGCAGCAGCGGATGCCGCCACCGCAGCAGCAGCAGCAAAAGGTAGTGTCCGGGCAACAGCAACCCACTGATAGGTACGTGGTTCAGCAGCTGCACCCGCAATCGCAGCCACAACAGCCTCAACTGTACCGGATTGAAGACCTGAGCGCACCGCAGCAGCAGCAGTATCGACAGCAGCAGCAGCAGTACCCGCCACAACATCAGCCTGCGCAACAGCCGCAGCCGCAAGTGGGAGGGCAGCAGCAGCACCAGCAAATACAGCCGCAGAACCAGCAGCAACCGCTGCAACGACAACAGTGGCAGCAGCCCCAGCAGCTGCTGCAGGGGCGACAACCGCAAGAGCAGCAGCAGTGGCAGCAGCAACTGCAACAATGGCAGCAGCAGCATGCACATCAGTTTCCAAATGCCATGCTAGTGCCTTCCCAACACCCCCAGCCCCAGCCCCCGCAACAGTGGCAACAGCAGCAACAGCCGCATCCGCAGTCCTACATGCTCGCTCAACCGCAGCAGCCCCAGCCGCAGATGTGGTCGCAAGGGCCGTCCGCGCCGCAGCAGCTGCAACACTGGCAGCAACACCAACACCAGCAGCAACTGCCGCAACAGCAGCAGCAGTGGCGGCAGCAGCAGCAGCTGCTGCAACAACCACCGCAGCTGAGGAATGTGTCGTACAACCCCCACAACGCTTCTGCTGGTGCTTCTGCCGGCAGCAGCGGCCCCATCACTCCTGCCACACCGCAAGCGGTGCCGTACCAGCCTGCGGCCTCCTCAGCCTCTGTCGGTTGGCAGTTGGCGGCTCAACAGCGTGTGTATGGATAGGCAGGGTACCCGCGTGGAGCCCATCCTGCTTGACCCCAACCCGATTGATGTCATGCCTGGTCAGTGCGTGTGATTTGCGATCTGGGAACTAGAACGATCGTGTGTTAGGACATGAGCCCTGCGCACGGGGTCGCATGTACGGCTTCATGTGTAGTAACTTTGGCTGTCTTCAAGTACATCTTCCTTTGTGAGACTGCTGCCTAGCAGGATATCCTTATACTTCATGCGTTTCCGCTGTGAAAATGCGTTTGCCGGGAGGCAGGGTTATTATGGTTTGGCATGACAGCACTGGTCGGCGGCCGTAGGGTGCTGTAGCGACAAGTGGAGAGGGCGCCTGTGAATGTATGTATATAGAGATGCAGACCCCGCCATTTATTTTTTCGCCTCTCCTGCATATGTATTGTAGGGAAGCAATTAGGATCTTGTATTAAGTGACAACTGCAAGCTATTACTGTTTGGCAGCTGTGTACAGATTGTGGGTTTGCGGTAGTGGCAGCGGTGCATGTTGGTACGTCGTGCCATTTCCTTGTTCCTTTTCCTTTGGTCGTAAGAGTGGCAATTACACAGTGTGATGAGCCGAGTAAGTGGCAATCCCAAGTCGCGTTGTGTGCCCGTCTTGGTTCGAATTGTGTTTCTTTGTTTTTGAGTTATGTTACTCTACTGGGGGATGTGCGGGTATACTGAGCAACACGATGCGGTCCTTGCAAGTGGTCTGTAGGATGGCTCTGTGGTACGGTCCTGGGTGCAGACCGCCGTTGCGTGCCGTGAACCTGAAAGCGCCGCCCCAGGGGCCACCGGACGCCACCACTCGGGTGCTGTTGCCCAACGCGCTACCTTTGCCACTCCACATAGCATCGCGCGTCTATGCGTGTTATATTCTATGCGGCGATCAGGTTAAGCAGCTTTCCAAAGGTGGTTCGCTCCGGGCCCTGCAACCGGTACTACGGTACCCAGGCGCAGTAGCCAGGTTAGTACCTTCCTGATAAATGCTGACATCTTTGTAGCCAGCTACATGTTGCCAGCCTTTTGTTGGGAAAGGAGGGACTAGGGCACTGTCGTGGGAAGCCTGCCCAGAGGCTCGCGAATCGGCTGACTAAGTTTCCTAACCGTGAACTCGCAAGGATTAGGCGATTAAGATGTTAGCGTCTGAAGGGCATGGCTCAGACAGAATGGGTGTTGAGCCCATATGGGATTGGTGCAAGCTCCTTCCTTTTATGCTCGCGGTTTATGGTTGCCATTTTCAACCTTGCCGGGGGACGGTTGCAGCAATACGGTGCTATGATCCAGTTAGACAGTCAGCGTAGCACGGTGGGAAATTGAAGTCACCTCAGGCGAACGGGTATGAAAGCGAATCGCATACGTTGGCAAGCCGCAATCCTTCGCAGCAAGTATGCAAACCGTGTGGCACTAGAATATATGAATAGTGACGGCTACAATAGACAAAGGATTCGCGCAACACGTCTCTGCCTCTGCCTCTGCCTCTGCCTCGGAAGGGCGAGAAGTTGAATGGTTGACGTCTGGGATTCATCTCCTCTGACGGTTCTTGCCTTTACTTAGCTGCTAAGTAAAATCTCTACAGGATTTTCCTATTCGTTCATAGCAGTGTACAAGTAGCCTATAACGCAAACAACATAAACAAAGCGCTCTCTCTCCTCTCTCTGCAAATAGCAGTCCTGCCTCTGAAAGGCTGTTTCGCGGAAGCTCTATCGCTTGCCTTTACTTTGTATCCAAAAACAACAAAGAAAGCAAGAAATGCGGCATCCGCTGCAGGGCACCAAACTGCCAACGTCGTCCGCTGGACCGAGCAATGTCAGCTTGCTTCAGTCAGCTGCAGCAGCCGTCCTGCTGCACAACGCCACACGTCATGCCGTCGTCCTTGCTGCTACTGCAGCAGCTGCTGCCGGCGACCAAGACAGCAGCAGCGCAGCGCGCGCTTGGATCCCCGACATCATCCGTCGCATCGCCAGCTTCCTGCCACCTAACGAGGTGGCCTGCAGCCTGCGTCTAATGAACAGGAACGCAGCAGCCGCCCTCAGCGGTCCGCAGCACAGCACCGTTCGGCTGTCGCAGCCCTCCCCGCCGCACGCCTTCGCCCAGCGCTGGGGCACACCGGGCGCCGTACAGGGCCTCGATCTCTGTCAGCAGGGGCAGCTGCTGCGCCTAACAGCATGCAGTGGCGATATCGCCAACCTGGCAGTAGCAGTGCAGGCCGTACGGCGGGAGAGTCCAGGAGGGGAAGTGGAGAACTTGTGTGAGGGGGCCCTCGAGGCTGCAGCGGAGGCAGGGCACCGACACATCTGCGAGTGGCTGCTGACTCGCGGCTGCTGCCGGTGGACAACAGACGTTGTGTATGCGGCCCTCCGGAAGGGCCAAGCGGGCCTTGTGTTGTGGCTGGTGCGGCGCAAGGAAAGGCATGGGCTTGATTCTAGACTCAACTATGTTGACCTATTGACGGCAGCTGTGCACGGCTGTGACCTTGCCACAGTGCTGCAGCTGCGGGCGAGACTGATTCAGCTTCGAAAGGTGCGGCCGGACCCGTGGAATTCCGACGGTTACGACATTGTTAAGAGCGCCGCACGAAGCCCCACTGCTGACTGGCAGGCCAAGTTGGAGTGGTCGCGGGCGGATTGCCGCCTCCAAAAGACCAGCGATGCTTGTGAGGGTGCTGTGGAATGCCCCGACGCTGTTGCGCGCCTGACCTGGCTGCGAGACAATGGCTACCCACTTCAGTCAGTCCCTTACCGGTTGTTCGGCTTTTTTGTCGAACCGTCTTACTCACGCCTCGTCAGCGCAGCTGTGTCAGTGGGCAATGTGGATGCCGTACGGTTCCTGCTGGACGAGGGGGCCGCCATGGGTTCCAGCGAGGCCAGGCATGCGGCTACAGCAGGCCACCTTGGGGTGTTGCAGCTGCTGCATGCGAGGGGATGCATCTCGATGGAGGTGCGCAACAACAACCCAGGCCTCCTGGGGGTCCTCCGCTGTGCCGTACAAGCACGCCAGCCGCATGTGGTGCAGTGGGTGGCAGGGGTGCCGGGGGTGGCGGGGCTGGCGGGCCGGCACTCGGACGAGCTGCTGGAGATTGCGATCCGAAAGGAGGACTACCCGCTGATGGCCCTGCTGCATGAGGCAGGGACGTCTTGGGAGTTCCATCATTTCATGCGAGCCTATCATTTGCAATTCCCAAGGATGATGGAGTGGCTTGCGGAGCACGGCTGCCCCATGGTGGTGAGTGTGGCTGGCTGGCAGGGCCCATGCACATACATGGTTGGCCGATTAATGAAGGATTGCATAGGGGCAGGAAAAGTAATGGAATGACATGGGGTCCGCCTGAACATATGCGACTAGGGGCACTGCTGCCATCAGAAAAAGAGGGTGCTCGGCTTCATGGCTGTTTCACTAGTCACACATACAGCCCTTGGCCTGCGTCCCGTGCTGCTTCTCCACTGCCCTGCCCTGTGCCCTGCAGGTGCACCCAATACAGTCCGTGGATGATAGCATGTATGCGCTGGCGGGTAAGCTCGGGGACACGGCCACACTGCACCTCCTGCGGCGGCTGGGCTGCCCCTGGCAGGGCCCGGACACCTTCACGTGGTGTGTGCGCTCGGGCTGCTGCCTGCCCGTGCTGCGGTGGCTGCGGAAGGAGGGCTGCCCGGTGGACTGGGAGGCGGCGGTGGGGGCGGTGCAACCGCAGCAGCGCGGCGGGGAGGTGGAAAGGTGGTTGTGTCGGAAGCAGGACCGGGGGCAGAAGAGACGGCGGGTGTGAGGAGGCGGGCCGGGAAGGTTGTGAGGGATGTGGAGGGTCCGGGTAGTGGCTGCTGGACCCCCTGGGGCAGGGGCGTGTGAGGACAGCGGGGGAGTGCACCATGCATGTATGTGTAGGTGAGGTGGTAGGGGGGCAGGGTTGAGTTCATTGATTGCCGTACCGGTACCCTCCGGAGCGCGTAGGGGCACTCGCATATGTGTTTGGTTGCGTGTGACTACTGCGTGAAGAGGCGGGACAGGCACAGGATACCGGTTACCAGTACTGCTGACGCATGGGCAAGGTGTGCAGGACGTTATGGAGGGGGGGGGCATTCGGCTTAACGGTTGATTTCGGACCGTGTGATGCGATGGTCCACGGGTGCGCCACAGCGCCCGGCGGCCCCGTTCAGCTGCACCATGCCAGCAAGGACAGCAACCTAGCGGTATCAGCAGCAGCGCACGGTAAGACTGCTGGTACGGTATGTGTCAGGCTTTGTCGCACAGTGCGTTCGTACGTGTTGGGCTTTCCGTAGGTTGAGCTTCCGTAGATTGGTCCTCAGGAGCTGTTGCCGCTAGCTCTTTGCCGTACGGCGTATGTTCGAAGGAGTGAAAAAGGCGCCATGCGGTGGGAGAGCAGCCTGCGGCGCACTGGCTCCACGTGCTGCTTATACTGGTATCGTGAGGAGTTGCTGAGAGTGCTAGCTGCTAATATGCTCGCATGGCTCCAGAAGCGCAGTAGGGGCGCGGACTAGGGTGCGGGTGAGGAGACGGAGAATGAGGAAAATGGTTGGGAGAAGATGGAAAATGAGAACGATGGTTAGGAAGTGGCGGAGGACGAGAACAACGAGTTGCGACCAGTTTTCTTAACACACAGACACACACTCGCGGCGACACTCGCTTCGCCTCGCGGCCAGTTATTTTAACACACACTCACGAACCCACTTCTGCGTGCACTTGACACAGAGCTGCAAAGCAGGACGCGCTCATCTTCAGGCCGCCCCCGGGCTCCCAACGCACTCACCCAACCCACGTCCGCGTCCTCAGACCCCGCATGGACCTCTGCCACCGGCGCCTCCCAGCATCGCACCGCATGCAGCCATACCAGGACGCCCCGCCCCTCCCGCAGGGCACTGCTTCTTGTTTTTCTTCACCCATCCCGCATCAGCAGCAGGACCCCCCCCCATCAGCAGCAGCACAGCAATAGCAACAATGGTGTTGCATTGGGTGCAGCAGCAGCAACGTAATACCGGTAACCAAGGACAGCACTCCACTGCGCCACAAACCCCATGCGAGCCAACCCTGCATGCATGCGCTGAAACAAAGCCTACTACCCGATGCATCCACACGACAACGGTCCCGTGTTGCACGGCAAACGTGTACGAACGCCTTGCTACGGCAAGAGCGATTGCGCGATGTTCGATGCTGCTGTCTTCGGGATACGACTGCTAATGCTGCTACGGGGAGACGGGGACCCCACGTCCATCTGCGTAGAGACCATGCATGCATCCATCCCTGCACCATGCACCTCCATCCATGCAAAGCGAGGCGCTGTAATCCCCCCGCCACCTCCTTAAGCCATGACTACCATGCTAGCAGCCACCATGCTAGCAGCCACCATGCTAGCAGCCACCGCCCTTCCACTGCCACCGCTGCTGCTGCCCCTCCTGCTGCAGTCACGCGGCATTGACTCCCAGTTACAGAGTCTACCCTCCTGCTGCCATGCCTTCCCCTCCGTTTGCCACCCGCCGCCGTTGCTATCTGCTGCCCCTCCTGCTACTGCTGCCCTGCTCCTCCTCATGCTGCTGCTGCTGCGGCTGCTGGGTACCCGCCATCTGCCCCCCCTCCCGTCCATTGCTTTGCCCTAACATGTGGTCTCCTATGGTTTGGTATGGTTTTTGACCCCCCTCCCTTCAGCCATCCGCTGCTGCTGCGCCGCTCCGCTCCCCTCGATCTCCCCAGTTCCGTCTTCTCCCCTCCCCCCTTCCGTCTCCTTCAGAAGTACCCTCCCCCGCTGCCGTCCCTGCTGCTGTAGTAGTCGTACGTCAGCACGGTGGCGCCCAGCACCGCCACCGCCGCCAGCTCCATGATGAGGGCTCCCGTGGTGATCACCTGGGGGGGGGGGAGGGGGGGGGAGGGGGGGGAGGGGTTTAGTGGGGTGGGGTGGTAGTGGGGTGTGTGATAACGGGGTGGGTGGAGTTACTCCCCCCTCGCCACCCACCACCTTCTTGTCGGCGACCCCCCGGCCTCCCGTGTCCCGATCTCCGGATGGCACGCCCACCTCCTTTCCCCACACACCCTTCCCTCCCTCTCCCCCTCCCCGCCCCCACCTTTGCATGCGCCAGGATGGCCGGGATGGCGAGTGAGCCCAACGCTGAGAAGCCCGTCAGGAACGTGCCAGCGTCTGCCCAACTGGGGGTGGGGGTGGGGGGGGCACAGGCGGCACAGGAGTACGGAGGCGGCGGCAGGGAGGCCAGAGACTTCCTGGTCTCGTTATCATCACACCAACTCTCCCTCCTGTGTAGAGTTACTCTACTGGGGTATGTGCCGGTATACTGAACAGCACGGTGCACTCCCTGTGAGAGGTCTGTAGGCTGGCTCTGTGGTGCGGTCCTGGGTGCAGACCGCCGTTGCGTGCCGTGAACCTGAAAGCGCCGCCCCAGGGGCCCCCGGACGCCACCACTCGGGTGCTGTTGCCCTTCGCGCTGCCTTTGCCACTCCACATAGCAACACGCGTCTTCAATGCGGCGAGCAGGTTAAGCAGCGTTCCAAAGGTGGTTCGTTCCGGGCCCTGCAACCGGTGCTATGGTACCCAGGCGCAGCAGCCAGGTTAGTACCTTACTGCGGAATGCTGGTACTTTTGTAGCCAGTTACATGTTGCCAGCCTTTTGGGAAAGGGGAAAGGAGGGACTAGGGCACTGTCGTGGGAAGCCTGCCCAGAGGCTCGCGAATCGGCTGACTAAGTTTCCCAACCGTGAACTCGCAAGGATTAGGTGACTAAGATGTTAGCACCTGAAGGGCATGGCTCAAAAAGAAAGGGTGTTGAACCCATATGGAATTGGGGCAAGCTCTCCTCTCCTTCATGCTTGCCGATCCACACTTGCCAATTTCAAGCTTGCTGGGGGACGGTTGCATCAAGACGGTGCTATGATCCAGATAGGGAGTCAGCGTATCACGGTAAAAGGTGAAGCCCGTGAAGGCAGTATGTTGCTGTTAAGATTGACCCTTTGGTACGGCGTTCCCGCGAAAATGATCTTGGGCGTCAGTGTCAACCCTCATCAGGACAATCACCTTTCCTTACTATGGACGGTGTTATGCTAGGGCCAGAATGACCTTATTTCATGATTTGTTTTCCAATGCAGCCTCTGCATTGAGAAATTTGCTCCCGACCCCCATAAGCGGCCACAAGAGACGTCGTGATGGTGGAGAGTCTTGCGACCAGCAGCCGAGCAGGAAAGTCCAGGTCAGCGGTCAGGCCCAGCCGGCCAATAATGTAAATTTGCCGGAGGGCTCAGAACCCGCTATTGCTATAGCAAAGGAGGCACTAGTAGAGTCCTCTACACCAGCAGCAAAAGCGGTCCCACTTCCCGCGCCGGCTACGTCATCTAACGCTTCTATTGGCTTTGGAATGGCCGACCGAATCCGAGAACTTGGCCCTAGGCAGAGCAGCCAAGGAGGTTCTCAACAAAACAAGCCACAAGTGCAATTGAACATGGCGGATTCCGATGGGCAGCAGCAGCAACAGCCGGCCTGGGGAGCGAACGGCAATGGAGTCGCAAAGGGCGTCTCCCGTCCGGTGCAGGAGCAAGCGCCGACGGGCGACCCGGCCTTTCCTTCACGTCAACCACAGCCGCCATTATTGCAACTACAGCCGCGCGCAGCTCCGCCATATGCGTACAATCCCGCTCCGGTCGGCTCAACTCCCGCACCACGGCAGGGCTACAGCAACGCTATGCCTACAGGCTACGCTGCCACGCCTGGCTGTCAGCAGCCGCTGCCGCCCAGGCAGCTCTTCAAAACCCCTGTCGCTGCCCCAAGCCCCGTTGAGTTGCGGGGCTTTCGCCAGCTCAGGATAGACAGCACCCCACAGCATAATGTCCGCCCCATAGCGTCGACCCCACACCAGCCCCGGCCTCCCGCTCCCGCTGCCGCCCAGCCCCTGGGCACACGGGTCCACGCGCCGGTGCCTGCCACGCAGAAGAGCTTTCTGCCGCAGCGGCCGAGCTTCAGCCAGGCCTTCATGTCGGGCCAGCGGGAGCTGGAGGACCTGGCTCGGGAGGGCAAGCTGAAAGCGGAGCACCTGAAGCTGTGGATAGCCGAACTTGATGCGGTGGGTGATAGTTTCGGCAGTTAGGGGTGCTTCGATGGATTGCATGTGGGTGGGTGAGCGGGTGGATGGCTGTGCTGGGCTGCATGCGGGGGGTGGGTGGGTGGGGGTTCCAGGCTTGCCTGAGCAGGGTGTGCAGTAGCACTCGAGGTCGCAGGGGCTGAAAAGCAGCCCCCGATCCTGTCCCAACACCGTTGATGGACTCGATCTCCCTGCCATTCGCCCTCCCTCTCACTTAACCGGCCCCTCTGCCCACCAGGCCCGCCAAGCCCGCAACCAGCCGCTGCTGCAGCCCACCCGGGAGGTCTACTCCCAGGTCCTGGGGGACGAGGAGGAGCTCGTGAGGGACAAGGGGAAGGAGGCCCAGGCCGCCAACGCGGCCCTCAGAAGCGCGCTGAAGAACCTGCAACGGGCTGTGAACCTTGACCCAAGGGTCGCTGCGGCAGAGACAAGAAGCGCGGCGACTCGGGCTGCCCTGGAGGCGAGTCAGGCGGCAGGCGGCGCGGAGGCGGCTGGTTCCTTTGAGCGCAGGGTGAGTAATGCGTTTCGCTATTCAGAGCTAGTCGTTAACAGGGTCCTAACAGGCGAACGCATGGCTTCTTACCAGCCTCTTCTCACCACCGTTACCTTACCCCATCGCCCGCATCACCTGTGTGCCTCCCCCTTGGCATGCAGAAAGCCGCGCACGAGCGCGAGGTGGAGCGACTGCGGCGGGAGGCGGAGGAGGGCACCCGGCGGAAGGTGGAGGAGCTGAAGGTGAGGGGAGAGGGGTGGGGGAGACGAGGGCGGGCGGGGCCAGGGGAGGGAAGGGGGAGGGGGCGGTCAAGGCTAAGGCTGCTAGCGTTATTTTTTCGCTTTCCCGGCCCTCCACCTTCCTCCTTCCGTGTCTCACCTCCTCACCCTTCCAGGCTGCGGATGCTGCTTCGCGGCTCGCAGCCCAACAGGAGCAGCAGCGGCGACAGCAGCAGCAGCAGCAGCCGGGCGGAGTGCCTTCCTCGCAGGCCTCTCAGTCTCAGGCTGCGACTGCCGCACCGGCCCTGCAAAAGTCCGCCTCAGCTGCACCTCCTCCCGCACGGCCACCGGCGGGGGCTGCAGCAGCAGCAGCTCGGCCGGGCCCCGTGGCTGCAGTGGCTAGGAAGCCCGCTGCGCCGCCTCCTGATGATGACGAGGTGATGGATTTGGTCAGCAGCGATGAGGAGGAGGAGGAGGAGGAGGGAGAGGTGAGGGAGAGGAAGTGGGTGGTTGCGGGTTTGGTGGTGCGGTGGTGGGTGGGTGGATGGGTGTCGCGGAGGGGGTGTTGGGGCTGTGACACGTCATGGCCTCATGGGGCGGTGAGACGCGCATGTGTGCGAGGGCTGATTGGGACGTGTTCAGGGGATGGGGTTCCGAATGCTGGTTTGGAACTAAACCGTCACCCGCGGTCTGTCAGCAGGCGGGGACGTGTGCGAGTTCCGGCCCTACATGGAACATTTCCCTGGCTCACTCCGTCCCAGTCTCTCCCTCCATACGCCTTGGGAAAACTCAAGACCAAACCCACCGTCCCCTCCACCCCACAGGGCGAGCAGGAGGAGGAGGGAGAGCAGGAATCCGAGCCCCTAGACGATGATGTCGCGGGTGGCGATGAGGACGACCCGTACGGTGTCGAGTACGGCAAGTACGGCAATGAGTCACGTGGCGGCGGCAACCGCGCGCTGCAGCACGCGTCACGAAAGGAGCGCGCGTGTTGGCGCCGTACGATGGACAGATCCGCGGGTGGGGATTCCGAGATCCTGGTGTCGTACAGCCCCAACCCCATCACCGTCATCAACCTGCCGCGTGATAAGCTGCTGTGCATGCAGCCGGGGCGGTGGCTGAATGATGAGGTCATCAACCTCTACATGATGCTGCTGCAGGTGGGGTGGGGGGGCTGCAGGTGGGGTGGGAGGGCTGCAGGTGGGGTGGGGAATTAGGTGCAGCAAGGCTGCGGGTGGATCAGAATTGTTAACGTAGGCTGGGATAAGGAGGCGGAAGTTGGGGGCGGGAAGGTGCTTCGCCGGTTGGTTTGGAAGAGCGCTGTGCGTGAACCCCTCGCTATGCTCTGTGGGTAGTACCGCCCCCGTCTGCATGCACGACTGCAAACTCTCAAAAGTCGTACGCCTCGAACAAAGCCATGATTCCTTTTCCACACCTCCGCGCCCCCACCTGCCTCAGGAGCGGGACACCCGTCTGCGCACCGCGGCATGCGGAGGTGCTGGCGGCAGCAGCAGCGGGGGGGGCGGGGGCCAGGTGGCGCCGCGCTGCCACTTCTTCAACAGCTTCTTCTATAACAAACTGTTTCTGGTGGGGTGGGGTGGGGTGGGGTGGGGTGAGGTGGGGTGGGTTGGGGGGAGAGGGGCTCTTCCTTTGCCGTCGTGCTGCTGCCCTTGCTTTGCAGCCTCCTCGGGAGCAGCCTCCTCGCCTCCTCGTCTACTACCATACTGCGGCATCCTAGCCTCCCCGCCTCTCTTACATGCACCCGCTCTACACTCCCTCCCCTTCATCTGCTTTGTTGCACTTATCTATAATCCCTCCCCTCCCCACCTCCCCCCGGTCCTGCAGGACCAGCAGAGGTACGACTACAAGAACGTGCGCCGCTGGACACTGGCCAACCGCCTTAAAGCCAACATGCAGGTGCGGGACGGGAGGCGCGTCGGGGGGGGGGGTACCTGCATGCACGCATGCAGCCGCTCTCTGTACGCCGTCTAAATAGTTGGAGCGGGAGAGCGATCTTTCTTTCTGTCTTTGTTTCCGCCGCTGTCTTTCTCTCCACCGCGAGGGAACCCGCGTGCGCGTCTGTACCTGTCGGGCGGGTACCATCCTACACCATCTGACTGCCTCGCCGCATCCCCCCCGACCTGTCTTGCCCCAGCCTGTGGCCACCTATGTTTGGGTGTGGTCTTTGACCACCCCTCCTATTAACCCCTCCTCCCCCAACCAGGACTCCCCGGGTGTGTTGGAGCTGGACCGCATCATCATCCCCATCAACAAGGCCAACATGCACTGGACCTGCGCGGTGGTGTACATAAAGGAGCAAGTGGTGCGCTACTACGACTCACTCAAGGTAGGGGGGGAGGCGGGGGGGGGGCAGGGAGGGAGGGCTGTCGGGGGTGCATGCGTATGTGGGTTGTGGCGCCGGGGAAGGAGGAGGTTGGCATTGCGACACCAGCCCTGTTAGCCCGGGGAATGTCATGGTCTCCTTCCAGCCCTGCCCTGGCACTCACCCCCGACCCCCCGTGCCCTCGTTGGCCGCGCTTCACGGCGTAGTGCATCATTGGGGATCGCCCTCGACCTCCGCCAACCGTTGATCCAACCTCGCCTCCCTCCAAACCCCCCTTGAGAACACCTCCTCGCCCCACCCTTCCCCCCCCTGCCTCGCCCCCCCTTCCCCCCCTGCCGTGTCCCCAGGGCAAGGACGAGGAGCTGGTGGGCCACTTGAAGCAGTGGGTGCGAGACGAGGCGGCGGACAAGCTCAAGGAGGAGTGAGTGGCGGGAGGGGGGGCGGCAGCGGCAGTAGCAGCGGCAGTAGCAGCGGCAGATAGAGAGAGGAGTGTGTGGTAGCGGCCCCAACACTGAGCGCGCTAGCAGAGTGTTTGCAGTTTGTGCAGTGTGTAGAAAGGGCACCTACCCTCCTGCCCACCCACCCGGCCTAGTAGTACTGACGCGCTCCCGCACCTCACGGGTCGCATGGAGCGTTGGCCATGTCCACCCAGTCGGAAGGCCCTTTCACATACCTCAATACAGCACCTCCTTCTCCCTTCATCTTAACACAGCAATCCCCCTCCCTCCTATCCGCTTCCCCCTCCCTAAAACTCTAAACCCCCTCTTCTCCTCCCTCCCCCTCCTCCCCCTCCCTTCTCCCCCTCCCTCCCCCCCTCCCCCGCAGCTGGGACACGCGGTCCTGGCGGGTTGAGTTCCCCAAGGCCATCCCCGAGCAGCGCAACGGCTACGACTGCGGCGTCTTCACCCTCATGTTCGCGGACCGACTGGGCGCGGGGCGGCCGCTGGACTTCAGCCAGGAGGACATGGAGCTGCTGCGGGTGCGGGTGCTGGCGCGCATCATGAACACACGGGTGGACCTGTAGGTGGCCTGATGGCTGCTGTTGTGGGGACTGCTGTGGGGCTTTGGACCGGGCGGGACCTGTGGGCCAGCAGACTGGCAGGCGGCCGCGGAGGCGTGTAAGGCGGCGGCGGTGGGTTGAGTTGGGATGTAGATGTTTGTAGCAGCAGCGGGTGGGTGGTCGGGCGGGGGTGGGGGCGCTTGCAAGACGAGGCCGTGATCTTGCTGACCTGCCAAGGTGGCCGGGCGGGGGGTTCCTGGCGCGAGCACCTGCAACAGCAGCGGCCTGGCTGCGGTGGTGGTGGTGGCAGCTTGCGAGCTGGGGCGGCAGGGGCAGGTGCAGCCGCAGCAGCTGCTGCATGCGGCTGTCGCCGACTGGCGGCTCGTGCAGTGTCAGGCCTTTGGGTGGAGGCCTCACCTGGCTAGCTGCCCGGCCGTAGTGGGCTGCATGGCCCTTCAGAGGCACCACCTGCGTTTGCAGCTGGGGCTCTTAAGGTTGCGGTGCAAAGTGTGGATGCTGGTGCGGGGGTCTCGACCTGTGTTGGCCGTTGCGGTGGGTTGGCTGCCCGGAGGCGTTTCCGTCCCTGCACCAGCCCAGGAAGCCCTTCCGTGCCATCCTTTGCTGGGGCACCGGCGGGGGACGCGTGCGTACGAACACCCGTGTGCCGCTGTGCACTGCTGAGGGGCTCTGCGCTCGTGCGGCGGTTGTGCGTTTTGTGGGAGGGGCGGGAGAGCAGGTGTTGCTCGACATGGCGGGTGAGAGCGGCGTACGTGGGGCCAGTTGCTTCTGGGGGTGGTTGCATGCGTGCAGGTGCAGAGGTGACTGGGACTAACGAGCTCATGGCATGTTGGGTGAGGCGCAAGGAGGGGAGGGGGGGTCATGGGCGCCTATGGTGACCAGGGTGGGGTCGGCGGGGTCCTTGACAGCCCGGGCGACCTGGAGGTTTGTTGACCCGGCCCAATTGCAGTTGGGCGTGCTAGAACAAGGAACTGGCCGCTGCGGTTTTACGGGTTTCAAACGGGATTAAAAGGGATCGAGAGATGGTTGTGGGTGTACCGGTTATTACGTGCTGAGTTCCCCTTGTCCTGTGCTTGCCGTACTCACTCGTGTTTGTCCCTCATGTGGTTGTCGGTGCCACGGTTAGCTCGACATGTGGCGTTTAGGACGCATAGCGCAATGGGCGGAGTGTAGACATGCTAGGTGGCGCTCCTTTTCCTTTCAATTGCTCTATGCGGAAGGGTGTACCAGTATTTTGTTCCCGTGGGCTGACTACAGAATGCGGTGTAATGTTGTACTGTGCGCGAGTATAGTTTGGTGCACAGTTTACAGTAGCATCTCTGCTCGTTCGACGACTGTGGTTGAGCGGCACAGTTCTACGTACAGTAGCTTCAGTAGTATCGTATACATAACCGAGTGCTCGCGTCATGTGGGGGTGCCAGTCAGGTTACCTTACATGCGGCATAGTCGCCGGTCTTCCGGGATTGTAACTATGTCGTACAGAAAGCATCTCCGGGACAAACTCGGACAGGGACGCCTTGCGGTGTGCGGTGCTTACCGTGTTCCTCTGCCACATGTGCCCACACCCCTTGTAAAACACATACATCAACACCCCAGTTAACCACCAGGGCCACCAGCTAGCCGGTAAGGGCATGCTGAGCTGTTGCGGCCCGTGCTCAGGCCTTGGCGGGCGCGTTTCCGTTGCATGGGTCGGATCAGAGACTTCTAGGGAAGTCCGTTGGAGGCCGACCGACGCGAAACAGGGGCCTGCGCAGCCCTGGGCACGTGCCGTACGACACACCATGCTCAGCCGGTGCTCAGCCATGCTCAGGCCTTGGCGGGCGCGTTTTGGACGGCGGAAGGTTTCCATTTCTTAGCACGCCTCCAGACTCCCTGCAGTTCAACGTCTTCTCCTTAAGGACCCCCCTCGGAGCAGCCGCGACACAACACAGTTGCTGACAACCACTAACCGCCGGGCACAGAGCCAACATCTCCTTGCGCTCATTGTAGCCCACCGAACAACTGCTACCACTGCTGTTTCCGCGCCCTGCCCCTGCTGCCTGGTGCTGCCGGTGTTGAGGTAGGGGCTGGTGGCACCGCCGGTCTCCCCCCTGGAGGTCTCCCCTCCCTGTCACCGCCTGCTCCCTCCCTCCCTCCCTCTCCCCCGCTACTGCTACTGCTACTGCCGCCGCTACCGCTGCTAACATTGTTGCATCCGCTGCCGCTACCGCCTCCGCCTCTCCCGGCCCCAGCTTGTATCCTCCTCCTCCTGCTCGACCCCCTCCTCCTCCTGCCCCTCCTCCTCCCCCAGCTCATGCAGCGGCAGCCGCAGCGCCTCCTCCCGCAGCCCCCGCAGTATCAGCAGCGCCTGCGGGTGGCAGGGCGAGTAGGCGGCATGGGGGAGCTGAGCAACGCTGCTGACCCTGCTGCCAAGGTTGTTCCTCCATGGGGGGGGAGGGGGGGAGCCCATGCATGCACTTGCACCCCTGCACGGATCCCCGCCCGCTGCTAGCACACCGCGTGCTAACAAGCTGGGCTTTCCTCTGTGGGCCCCTCTTTGGCCCTCTTCGCACGACCCGAAACGCCCCCCCCGCACCTGCTCCCTCGCCTCCTCCTCTCCCTCGCCGCTGCGCCACTGCTGCGCCAGAACCGCCAGCCTAAGGTGACGGAAGGGGGGGGGATGGGGAGGGGAGGGGGAGGGAGCATGGCGGGGAGCCGGTGGGGGCGGGAGGAGGCCATGAGAAGGAAGCGGGTCGGGGAGAGGCAACTGCGGGCGGCAGCCACCTCGACTGTGACTCCCACCGCTGGGCCGCAAACAACCCACCCCTCTCCCTTTCCCTTTCCCGCCCACCCCTCCCCTAGGCCCCATGCACCCCTCTACCCTCCTCCTCACCCATGTCCAAACCCTCCCCACCCCGACCGCCCCTTATCCGCCTCCCGCCCCTCCCCCCCTGCCAACTCCTACCCCCATTGCTTTGCCTTAACTTGTGGTCTCCTATGGTTTGGTATGGTCTTTGACCCCCCCGCCCACCTGCCGCACAGCGCCGCCGCCGCCGCCCACACCCCACTTCCCGCCGCACTGACCTCCAGCCGCCGCCTCTCCGCCGCCTCCAGCAGCTCAGCTACCCTGCATGGAGGGGCGGGGTGGCAGGGGGCAGGGGGCAGGGGGCAGGGGGCAGGGGGCAGGGGGCAGGGGGCAGGGGGCAGGGGGCAGGGGGCAGGGGGCAGGGGGCAGGGGGCAGGGGGCAGGGGGCAGGGGGCAGGGGGCAGGGGGCAGGGGGCAGGGGGCAGGGGGCAGGGGGCAGGGGGCAGGGGGCAGGGGGCAGGGGGCAGGGGGCAGGGGGCAGGGGGCAGGGGCAGGGGGCAGGGGGCAGGGGGCAGGGGGCAGGGGGCAGGGGGCAGGGGGCAGGGGGCAGGGGGCAGGGGGCAGGGGGCAGGGGGCAGGGGGCAGGGGGCAGGGGGCAGGGGGCAGGGGGCAGGGGGCAGGGGCAGGGGGCAGGGGGCAGGGGGCAGGGGGCAGGGGGCAGGGGGCAGGGGGCAGGGGGCGGGGGGCGGGGGGCTGAGGAATGCAGGAGAGAGAGGGGGTGCGGGTGGGTCTCAACTGAGTGGGAACCGACCTGCGGATGATGCGTCGTGCGTTGGTGTCCCCCCAATTACGCCATCAACATGGCCCCCCCCCAACCATGTTGACGCCTTAACACTCAGTCAGTTAGTTGTTTCCTCTTCGCCCCCCCCTCTTCCTCCCTCCAGCCACCCCACCCCACCTCCTCGCCTCCTGCACCACCGCCCCCGGCAGCCCCGCCGCCTGCGCCAGCATGAGGCCGTAGTGGCAGTAGTCGGCGGCGGCTGCGGGTTGCAGCAGCCAGCGGTAATCCAACTGCCCGGCTGCCGTGTCCACCTGGGGGGGGTGGGGAGGGGGGGTGGAGGGAGGGGGTTGGAGCGTGGAGGTGCAGAGGTACGGAGTGTGTGGGAGGGGTCGAGGGAGGAGTGGTGGTGCAGTAGAAAGCGTCCTTTGTCCGTTAATCGGAGCTCAACCCTGTCTCAACAGTCAGTGTTGTGATGGAGTCATGAGACCTGCTCGCCTGTAGGAGCACTTTGTGCCCTCGGAACAGAAGGCCAGCTCCCCTCACTCCTGCAGCCTCCTGCTTCAACACCTCCTTTTCCTCCCACACCCCTCACCCCTCATGGTGCCGCTATCATTCTATCTCACTCTCCGCTGCCATGCAGCCTCTGGAACCCCCACCACCTTCCCCTTATGCGGAAACCCCACCCGCTCTCTCCCCCTCCCCCCACCCACCTGCAGCCGCCACACCCGCGCCTGAGGGTAGAGCACTGCCAGCTCGCCCAGCTGCGGGAAGTGGGTGGCCAGCAGAGCGGGTGACCCACGGGTCATCAGCTCCTCGCAAACCTGCGTGGCAATACATGCCGGTGGTGAAACGTGTCGCTGTGTTACACATGTACGACTCCCCTCCCTTATTTCCAATGTCTTCCCCGTAGCCCGTAGGGATGTCAGGGCGTATGTTCGCGTCGGGGGCCTGCTGTGTGGCCTACCCTTTCCCCTTCTTTTGCTGCCTGCCCTTCCCTTCCCCTCACTTCCCTTCCTCCCCCTCCCCCCAGTCCTCACCGCCCATGCAATGCCCACTCCGTCCGCGGTGCTGGTGGCCCGACCCAGCTCGTCCAGCAGCACCAGGCTGCGGGGCGTGGCGGAGGCGAGTACGGCAGACGTGTCCTGCGTGTGTTTGCGTGGATGTGTGTATGTGTACGGCAACGTGGGGGGCGACCAGGACGGCGGCGGGTGGGGTTGGGGGGTTGGGTGGGTGGGAAATAGGGCATAAGGAGGGGAAAGAGGGCACGGGACGGTAGGGTAGAAGGGGGGCTGTTGCCGTACCGTGCTCTGTGGTGAAGAAGAAAGGAGCGTGGAGTCAGTTGAGGTTTGCAAAACACGCCACACCAACCCGGTGATGCATACACGGTGGGGTGGCTTAGGGCCATGTGCGGGTTTGCGCCTGCAATCCTACGAGCTCACCCTGGCTTTCCAATCCACCCTGCATCTCCTCTCACAATTCCCAATCTCACTACTCCCAAACCCTCCCCCACCCCCCCACCCACCAGCATCTCCCCCAGGAACCCGCTGCTGCCCGCCTCCAGGTCGTCCTCCGTACCCCCCGCACCGCCCCCGCCCCCTCCCCCGCCCCCTCCTCCCCCCAGCCTGCCCAGTACGGCGGTGAAGGGACTGAGCGCGCAGAACTCCGCGGGCACCCAGCAGCCCGCCTGCGCCATCACAACAAGCAGCGCTACCTGCAGAGGCGGGGGAGGGGGAGAATTGATAAGTGGCGGGGGGTGAACACGTGGAAACTGGGGAGCTGTATGACGTATAGGCTTCACCAGGGGGAGGGGGGTTGTGGGAGGGCTGGTGGGGGGGAACCCGCAGGCAGCCGGGAAGAGGGCTAACACAGCCTTGCAGGTCTGTCCAAGCAGAGGTGCAGCAGGTGGGTAGCGCCCCGTTGTGCCGTACCCTTGTGCCGTACTAACGTGTCATGTAAGATCCCTGTACGTACCCCTAGTAGTAACCTGCCGTACACCCCCCACTTGCTGTACATCCTTAGATCACCGGCATGTGTCGTACCTGTTGCAGGTAGGTGGACTTGCCCGACATGTTGGGACCAGTGACCAGATGCAGCGGGGCGGAGGGGGACAGGAACGTGTCGTTGGCTTGTACGGCAGATCCGCCTCCGCCTGCTGCCGCCGCCGTACGAGCGGCGAGCAGCGGGTGTCGGCCTTGCACGATGGCGAGTGGGCCGCCGAGTCGGAGCTGCGGGCGGCAGCACTGACCCATGGGTCCGCTCGCCACCAGTTCCGCCATGCCAACCATCAGGTCGAGTAACGCCAAACTGTCAACCAACCGCTGCAGGGGGCCCATGTGGTTGAACGCCTCCGAAACCACGGAGTCCAACAGCTATGTATGTGGGGGGGTGGGGGAGGCGTCAGGAGATACGGGATGGAGAGGTGGAATGGGGCAGGTACGTTCCTAGATAGGAACGCATGGGATGGTTCTTGGGCGGATCGGACCAACAGAGCAAGCGCTGGACATCATGCATGGGGGAGGATTGAAGGGATGCACCGGGAAGGTACCGAACAACACACGAAAGGGGCTGCAGGGACGACAAAGGGATGGCAAAGGGGCGACAAAGGGATGGCAAAGGGGCGACAAAGGGATGGCAAAGGGATGCCAAAGAACTAGGCCGAGTCCCGCAACTATCAGTTGACAACGCAGAACGACTCTATACCTCCTCACAACCTCCAAACCCTTCCAAACATCCCAACACCCACACCTCCTCCCCTCCTGACCCCACCTGCCGAGTCAGCAGCAAGCAGTCGTTGGTCGCGTCCCTCAGCCGGCAGTTCAGCGCATTCAGCTCATGACTGGTCAGCAGCAACGTACCCCGCCCGCCTCCTCCCCCCCCTCCTCGTCCTCCTCCTCGCCAGCCTCCCCGACCGCGACCGCGACCCCCACCGCCACCACCTCCCCCGCCTCGTTGCTCCAAGATAATCAGTTGCGGCGGAAGTTGAACCGGCGCGCGTGCGGAGGCAGGTGTGTCAGCCGTAACG